GCTAAATGGCAGCCTTTAAAATACTGTGGGTGGGTGGGCCTGGTGGCACATGCCTATAATCCCAGCGGTTTGGGAGGCTGAGGCAGGAGGAGTGAGAGTTCAAAGCCAGCCCCAGCAATTTAGCAAGACCTCAAGCAACTCAGCAAGACCCTGTATCTAGATAAAATATTTTTAAAAGGATGGGGGGATATGGATCAGTGGTTAAGAGGCCCTGGGTTCAATCCCTGGTACAAAAAAAAAAACAAACATGAGAGTACTTACTATCACCAGAACACATAGAATGAAGTGAAATTTAATGCTAATCTCAGGTTAAATTCACAGACTTCCTCTGTAAAAGACAGTCACAGTGTCTTTGTTCAACCTCAATTCTGGATTATTTTGTCGGATGTTAAATAACATATTACATTCATCACTGAGAAGTGACTCAAGTCAGCCAGGAAAAAACAATATCAAAATATTAAATCATACACCCCCCAAATGAGTTATATAAAAGCAGGGCTGAATTTCAAATCTGAACACATGGTATCATCTTTTTATAAAGGTATGTGGAGGCTGAAAGTCAAGTAAACTAGAAGGTTAAAAATGAAATCTTGATGTTTCTTACTGAAAAATCAGCTTCCACTTCATGAAGGTTGAATTGCTTCCAAAGAACACATCCTTTAATCCAGAACTAATTAGTGCCACTAGCCCAAGTTTCCCTTTTGTTTTCAGAGAACCCTCTGCTTTGAATACACTTCTGACTGCAGACCTGATAGAATGGCCAGTGGTGGGGCATTACCCCCTCCCTAGTAAGGGACATGAAAATAAAGACCCTCGGAGCTTCTGATCTTGATTTTATGAAAAGATTATTGTGCTTGCCTAAAGATAATCCATTTCTTACTTTAAAGGTTAATGAAGGAAGTGGAATAGAAATATGTGAAGATCATGCCTCCCAGAGCGAGAGGCAAAAAAAAAAAAAAAGGTTGAAATGAGAAAAATATCTTCATTTATTTCTGTCTCTGACCTTATGTGAAGGAAAGAAGTGTGCTTGCTGGCGTGTGCATTGGAGGCATGGAGCGGGGTGGTGGGGCGCCTGGGATTATATATAACATGGCGAACTGTGAAAAGTTAGCTTACTATTCCTTTTGATTTACTGGGGTTTTTTTAGAATTTTTTTTTTTTAGTTATACATGAGCACAATACCTTTATTTTCTTTATTTATTTTTATGTGATGCTGAGGATTGAACCCATTGCCTCATGAATGCGAGGCAAGTACTCTACCATGGAGCCACGCCCCAGCCCATTGATTTACTATTTGATATAGGAAGTTCCCTTGATTTTTCCATGGAAATAGATGGTGTTCTAATATTTAGACTTCATTAGAATGGAGTCTAGGAGTTGAAACCATGATTAATCTCAGTGGTCCTGAGTTGACCCCCCCCACAAGTGGCAAGCATCATTGGTAAAATGTTTCTCCCTGGATCTGCCATACTTACAGAGGATGGTAAAAACTTTATGTGTAGGTTAAAGAATAAAAAAAAAAAGTCACCTGTGAAAGTAGTAGAATGTGAGTTCTTTGGAAGTACAGCATGTCCTTTGCTGACAGCACCTCCCTCTGCTCACCCAGAGAACTGCTGTTCCCACTCAGGTAAACCATGCCCCTGCTTCTCAGTGTAGGGTAGCAATTTACATAAGAACCTTTTAAAAACATTGATTCGTTTTACTTGTTTTGGACTTTATGTAAAAATTTTTAAAGGTGCTATGTGTTTGGGACTGTGACATTTTTACTCAGCATTGTGTTTTTTGCAGTTCAGTCTCTGGTTAATGAGTATGACTGTACTTCATTTTTACTGCTGTTAGCACTCTATTCAGTGAATAGACAATTTTTCCATTCTGTTAGTGGAAATTTAAATATTTTCCAATTTTCTTGGGTTGTCTTTTTTTTTTTTTAACTATGTTATGGCTAACCATTTGTTGTTCATGTCTCCTAGAAAACATTAGGAGTCCTTCTGGGCATGATAACACATACCTATAATCCTAGTGATTTAGGAGGCTGAGGCAGAAAGATCAAAAGTTCAAGGCCAACCTCAGCAATTTAGCAAGGTCCTATGCAACTTAGCAAGACCTTGTCTCAAAATAAAATATAAAAAGAGATGGGATATGGCTTATTGGTTAAGCGCCCCTGGGCTCAATGTCTACCCCCCCCACAAAAGAAAATTCATTAAGAGTCTTCCCATATACCTGAGATTGGAACACTCACTCTATGCACATGTTCAGATCTATCAGTTAATGCAAAGAAATGGTTTCCAGAGTAGTTGTAACAGATGACATGCCCACCAGCAGAGCAGAGTGCTCTATTGCTCTGCATCCTCAGCAACTTTGTTATCATCAGATTTCTGCATTGTAGCCATCATGTGTTAGTATATTGGTGTCATTTTCTTTGGATCTTCCTTATTACTATTGAGATTGAGTAGTTATTCATTAATTTCCATAAACTTGGCATGTCTTTCTGTTTATTTGGATAGATGTTTGTACTTTGGGTTTTTAGTACTGGGGGTTGAACTCTGGCACTTTACCACTGAGCTATATCCTCAGCCCTTTTTATTTTTTATTTTGAGAAAAGAGTTTTGCTAAATTGCTAAGGCTGACTTCAAACATGGATCCTTTTGCCTTAGCCTCCGGAGTAGCTGGGATTATGGGCAGGTGCCAGCATGCCTGACTCACTTATTTGGATTTTTAAAAATTATTATTTTGTGTTTTTGTGGTGCTGGGGATCAAACCCAGGACTATTATGCATGCCAGGCAAGTAGCTCTACTGCTGAGCTATATCCTCAGGCCTCTCTGCAAAAAGGGTCTCACTGAGTTGCTTAGCTCCTTGCTTTTGCTCAGGCTGCCTTGGAACTTGTGATACTCCTGTCTCAGCCTCAGGAGCTGATGGGATTACAGGCATGCACTAGACTAAAATCTGCATTCTTATATGTTTATTTTGTTTCATTATTCCTGGTCTTAATTATTATGATCACTTTTCTTCTAATTCTATGAATTTATTTCACAGCTCTTTTTCTAATTTCTTTTAAAACACTTAGGGTTAAAACTTTCCTATAATACTTTTGCATTTCCACACATTTTAATGTATAATAATTTAAAATTATTTAGTTCCAAATATTTTGTAACTTTATGCCTATAATCCCAGTGGCTCAATCCCCGGTACCCCAAAAGATAAATAAAGAAAGAAAAAATAGGGCTGGGGTTGTGGATCAGTAGTAAAGCACTCACCTAGCACATGCAAGGCGTTAGGTTTGATCCTCAGCACCACATAAAGATAAATTAATAAAATAAAGGTATTATGTCTAACTACAATTTTAAAGAAAATTTTAAAAAAGAAAAGAAAAAATAAATTCTTGTCCTGTGAGTTTTGTATATTTCTAATTTTCCAAAAACATAGGGATTTTCTGGTTATCTTTGCGTTACTGGTTTCTAGTGTTATTACATGGTAGTCAGAAAACATTTTATGTATGATAGCAATTATTTGAAATTCTTGAGACTTGAGCATTTTGGTCCCATATACTTCCAATTTTTATAATGCCCCCAGGGTGTCCTAAAACAAGCAACACTAGATTTTGAAGCTCCGAGGTTCATGTGTTTATTATATCATTCTTGTCCATCGTGTGGTTCACACCTTCTAAATCCTTTTTAAAAAAATGCTTAGTTTATCAGCTATTTTTAGAGATGTGTTAAGAATCTCACAATTTTGGGGGGGCTGAGGTGTGGCTCAGCGGTAGAGCACTCGCCTAGCACGTGCGAGGAGCTGGGTTCGATCCTCAGCACCACCTAAAAATAAAAACAAATAAAAAGGTATTATGTCCAACTACAACTAAAAAAATTTTTTTTAAAAAGAACCGCACAATTTTTGAGATTTACTATATTTTCCCATAAATATTTCTTATTTTTTAGTCTATTTTGTTAGGTACAAATGAGTTTAAACTTATTATATCCATTTTAATATAAAAAATAGAATCTTTAAGGAGGCCCATGTTTGGTCTACTAGTTATTTCTGGTGTAATTAATTCTGATTTTTAGATTTTGTAAAATATTGAATAAGGCACACTGGAAACAAAAAATGATTTTACTATCATATTTGGCAATTCAGGGTTGAAAAATACATCACTTGACCTTATTAACTCATTTCTGATATACTAGCCAAAGAAATAACCAGAAGTAGGTAAAAAGCTTTATGTACCAAAATATATATTATCTGTGGTAAAATAAATAAGTGAAAGCAAACAGATTCTAACAATAGGAGAGTGGTTAAGTAACTATGAGCTGGCACATGATGATATATGTAGACATTAAAATCATTTATCATGAATTTGTAATAACACTGGAAAGTTATGTTACAATAATATGTAAATAACAAGCCTGTACTTTGATCTCAGTTACTTTAATGACAACTATAGAAAAAATTCTAAAAGGAAATATCTCAAGCATTGGTTGGTACCCCATGAATATGTATAATTTTTATTTTTATGTATCAGTTAAAAATAAAGAAAAATAGTAACATTAATTGGTAAAATTTTGGTTTCCTCTTTCTTTTTACTTTTTTTTTGTGTGTTTTTCGTATTTTCTACAATACTCAAATTTCCTTTACAATTAGATAGGGAAAAGTAAACTTAAAAATATGGATGAATAAATATGTTTCCAACTAATGTTTGAATGTGCCTATTGAGTCTTTCTTATGCTATACTTAGCTGATATTTTTGAAACATCAAGACAGAAAAGTTATTTAAATTGTGAGATACAGTAATATATAAAAGTGCAAATCAGTGTTTAAAATATGCTTCTTGGGGCTGAGGTTGTGGCTCAAGGGTACAGCGCTTGCCTAGCATGTGTGAGGCACTGGGTTTGCTCCTCGGTACTACATAAAGATAAAATATAGGTATTATGTCTACCTACAACTAAAATATATACATTTTTTAAAAAATAAATAAAGTACCTGTTTTATTGTGTTTTGTGTCTCGTAGGTAAAGTTCTGCTGGAGGAAAACCAGGGCATTGCTCCTGTGGTTTCCAGTCATGTGAGCCCAGGGGTGAAACCAGCAGTGGTTGGGCCCTTCAGCTCACACGTGATGGAATTTCCAAGAAAACGCAAAGGAAGTGATTCGGACCCCTCCCAGTAAGTGGATTTTTGCTCTAACCCCACGAAATCTTTGACTCTAGGGAAAAGAGAATAAGATTGCTATTTAAATTACTATTTCTAGATACTGTATTTCACTGCATAATTGTCACCACTGCGTTAATATATAGTCATAAGTATTTCATGCATCCTAATCTTGCAATAAGGACAGTTTAGTAATAAATGATTGTTAAATAATACGGGCACCATTTTTTAAAACATTTTATTGTAGATGGACAGCATGCCTCTATTTTATTTGTTCACTTTTATGTGGTGCTGAGGATCGAACCCAGTGTCTCACATGTGCAAAGCAAGCGCTCTGCCACAGAGCTATAGCCCCAGCCTGGGCACCAGTTTTTTAAAGTTTCACATAATGATTGCACCCTAGTTTTTTGCAAAAAAAAAAAAAAAGTTGGCATAAAAACTGGGAAGATTATGTCAAGAAATAAAATACATGGCAACATGATTATCCACCCAACTGCTACCTGACATTGAGTGAGATGGAACTTCTCCATCAACTCTGATGATTATTAGATACGTAGGAGGATCAACAGAGCCTAAAAGATATGTAGGTACATGAGGTTAATTTGCTTAATGTTTATGGTCGCAGCTAGATACTAGCCTTCTTTATTGAAATACTAACCATGAGGAGAACATCTTCTTGCATATTTGGCTTAAAATAATAAATACCACTTACTACCTTACTCATCATTTACATTATAACCAATGAATCCTTGTTTATCTGTGGTCAATTTAACCAGATAAAACTCTTGTTTCCATATTAGTTAAGCCATGTGGATAGGAAGGTGAATGCTGAGAATACTTACTATGCCCTTGTTTGTTTTTGTCATCTACTATGGCTTATAGCCTGAAATATTACATATATATATATATATATACATACACACATACACAGTTAATTAGTTCTCAGCAGACACAACATCTTTATTTTTTTATTTTTATGTGGTGCTGAGGATCAAACCCAGCGCCCTACGCATGCCAGGCGAGCGCGCTACCGCTTGAGCCACATCCCCAGCCCCAGCCACATCCCCAACCCCCTGAAATATTGTTTAGTGACTTCTCTAAAGCTACAGCTATGTGATGGAAACATTAGGACAAAATAAAAGTAACAATTCATCTTAGATTAAAGCACAATAAAGTTTGCAACTCATCCTAGGCTAGCACTTACGTTGGTGTGAAACGTTGATGATAGGTCCCCACCATAAGTGAAGGGGACAGTTTCTGAGTTGGGACAAAGATGAGGACATAATGTAGCATCCCAGCTTTTTTTGATGTAGTTCTTCCCAGTATGCTTCATAATTTAGCTGTGATTCTCAAGACAGAAGAATGAGTATGATTCAAATGTAAGGACCAAGGCACCTCCCAAGCCATGTATAAACGATTGGAAGATCTTCTACTGATTTTGGTTGTCTGTTCTCTTAGCCTCTTCCATTTAGGCGATGCTCAAGAAGCAGCAGTGGACCAAGTGACACTTTGTCTAAAGCTGTTGGCTGTTTTTCATTGTCAGTCAGTTGATGGTCCCCACTCATCTGAGCTAAAAGTGACTTAGTCTTTTTTTTTTTTTTTTAATCTCTTCCCTTCATCTTTAGAATCACAAGCACTACTGTTGTTGATCACCTCAGTTGAAGTGGTACCAGTGTTCCCTGCCACCTAGGGGCCATGTGGAGGTTTTGGGGGGTACATAGGAAAATAGAAATGGTCCCAGAGGAAAGATCACAAACATGCAAATTACTGCCAGATTGAATTTTTTTTTTTTTTTTTGGCAGCAGCCAACAGTAAAGATTATTTACTTAACTGCCCACATTTTAGAAAATGAAGAACCTAGGATGCAGAAATGTCAGCACAAGGTGAATTCACTTAATGTTTATGGTCACAGCTAAATACTTGTCCTTTTTTTGATGCCAGGGATTGAACTCAGGGACGCTTAACCACTGAGCCACATCTCCAGTCCTTTTTATTTTTTATTTTGAGACAGGGTCTCACTAGGTTGCTTACAGCCTTGCTAAGTTGCTGAGGCTGACTTTGAACCTGCGATCCTTTTGCCTCAGCCTCCCAAGCCACTGGGATTGCAGGCATGCACCACCACATCCGGTGGTCCTTGCCTTCTTTATCACAATACTTAACCATGGGGAGAACATTACACATGGATTAGAAAGTCTGATTCTGAGTGGGGCATTTCTTCAGCGTGCCTGGCCTCCTGTCTCTCTGCTCTTGGATGGGGTCGGGTGACCTGTAGCAATCATGCTGTTTCCTGGTACATCTGGGTAGGGGGTGACCCAAAGCCTCCTTCCTTCCAGGTCAGAAATCATGACAGAAAAAGTGGTGGAAAAGCTTTCTCAGAATCCCTTTACCTATCTTCTTTCAACAAAGATAGAAATATCAGCACCCAGTGGCAGCAGGTAAGTCCTGGACTATGGTTTGACACATTCCCTCTCCTCCTAAGAGGCTGTGTGGTGACAGTGGAGATGTACGTCTCCCTGATGGGCTCTCTGTCCCACAGCTTCTCCATTCTGCTATAGATCTTCTTTTATCCCACCATTTTCTGTGCCCTCTCAGGAAGTGATGGACTTCAAAGTACTTTACAGATTTTGTAAAATGCTGATTATACAGTATATTTTCCAGAGGCTCGGGAAATGAGTCTCTGGACTTTTTCCAGAGATTTGGGGAAGCCAGTCAGTAGAGATGAGGTTGATTTTTATTTATGTAGCCTCAGAGTGTTTAGTTTTGTTTTTTTTTTTTTTTCCATTTATTTCATTTTATTTTTTAGTTGTCCTGGGATCTAAATCCAGGGCCTCATGCACGCTAGACAAGTGCTCTAATAACAATGAGTCATAGCCCTAGGCCAGGGGTGTTTAATGTTATTTAGAAAAGAAGAATGTATGAGAATGATCAGTCTTTCTGTGGCACTGTTGGTTTTGAATAGATAGCTGAGTCTTTTAGAAGGATCTCTGATGAAGATTCTGTGGAATGTAGTCATTAAGTGTTATTGAGAACCTGCTATGACACCCAGTAGGTGTGAAGTGTACAGACTTACATTCTCAAAGAATCACTCAGGAATAGCATGGAGGTTGGGTGGAAGGAGGAAAACGAGCAGGCAGAGAGAACAGGTCAAGAAGAAACTTTTGCTGCGAATTAGGTTTTCTGAACATTAGTAAGAGAGTGGCCCTGGAGAGGAAAGACATTGAAGGAAGGGACTGAGGCATATTTGCAAGACTGAATCTCTGAGGCCTTGTGGCTGTTGCTTGGCGAGAGGGAATATGAAAAGTATCCATGCTTTCTGATTTGAGCTTCTTGATGGAAGGTGGGATTTTACCAAGACTGAGGGGAAAGGAGCTCAGTTTTGGACACACTGAGAATGGAGTAAGCAGTTAGACATGAAGATCCGGAACTCAGGGGTGAGGCTGGACTTGGAGATTAGATTGAGACATCAATATTGTACAAGAAATAATGAAGTGTCAGGCATGGATCACATCACTGGGATAAGTGTGTGGAGTGGAAGAGCAGGGGGCTGAGGATGTACCCCCAAAGACAGTGAAGGGAGGAAAAGAGTATACCCCAAACATGAAGAGGTGTGGTTCTGAGTGGGGGTGGAGTTGCAGAAGCCAAAGAAACACATTTGAAGAAGAGGGACACATGAAAAGTGGCAAATCTGGGAGCATATTTTTGAGATTGCTTCTGACTTCATTTGTTTTGGTAGAATGCCTACATTTTATTCAAATGCAGTGAAAGTAGTTTTCAAGGAGTCCTTGCAACTGTGTTTTAAAATAATTGCATTACTGTTGTTAAGATGCCAAGAAAATGCATTCAAGTAATGAGAACGTTATTACTAACAGAAAGCTTATTAAAAGACATTTGTGAAAAATTATGACTGTAGACCCAATGCCAGCATGAAAAAATACACAGATAGCAAACTCACTAATTATCTAGGTTTGTGCTGCAAACAAATGGATTGTTCAGGGTCTTGTCTTTGTCCTGTTCTGCCAGAGACCATTAGATAAAAGTATATTTGGATTTCATGATTGGAGTATATTTGAATTTTGCTAAGGAGATGAGTTCACTTGGTGGGTTCATTTGCTAAAACCCTGATAATCAAAGCAAAAGCACAATTCTAAAAAGCTGAAGTTTACCTTTTGAAATTGAAGTTCTATATATGTATATTAATTCCAGACCATTAGGAAGAAGATCATTCACCTGTATAATTACTTTCTGTTTTATTCATTTAATAAATGAATAAAAGAGAGAAACAGGGAAGGAAGCTGACTTCATCTGACCCTCTCTTTGGCTTCAGAGAAGCTGTTTGAATTTTATGTGTAGCAACCGCTGTGCAGAATGACAGCGTTGAGAGAAATGGCAAGTATCCTGGAAGGGACTTCACAGTGAACTTCACTTGGCTGCTTGTAGTTGCAGGGCCTTGAGTAGCAACTACAGCTATAGCCTTGATTCCTTCATCTGTAAAATGGGGATAGTGATAACTGCACTGTGTTGTGAGAATCAAGTAACATGTAAAAATGTGTCTTAAAAATGGTTCTTTATTTAAAAGTGAGTAGGAGAAGTACCACTTGAATAAACTTCTTAACGGTCTTTTTTTTTTTCCATTCTGGGGATTAAACCTGGGCCTCACACGTGCTAGGCAAGTCTACCTCTGAGCCCCAGGCCCAGCCCTTTAGTGGTACTTTTTATTTGGAATATTCATAAGCATCTCTTCTTAAATGTGATTAAATTTTCTATAAAGAGCATTGTAAGAAGAAAAACATTAAAATTTAAATAAAAGAGTTCAAGTAAATAAAATAGTTCAGAGATAGGCCAGACTTTTTTCAAAGCCTGGAAAATGATCATTGTTAAATCTTTCAAGAGGGAAGTTGTCTAAGATGAATCAGAAACATTCAAACAGCTCTCTATAAATTCTACTTCTAGGAATTTATTTTAGGAGAATAATTAAGATGTACTCACCATAATATTATTAGCCATATCATTTATAATGTTGAAAATATTAGAATATTGATTATATTCAACACTAGAAAATGATTAAGTAAATTATGGTATAGCTAATCAGTGGGCCACTATTAATTATTTTGAATCATGTTTCCTAAGAATATTTAAAACCCTAGGAAAATATTCATTTTATAAAGTAAAAAAAGACAAGACCTAAAAAGTTATACACTGTGACCTGAATTTTGCTTATTATATCTGTAGAATACCCAGAAATATCTGTACAACTTCACCACACACACACATAGACTGTGGCTAAGTTAAATAATCAGAGCTGGTTTCATATGTGTCTCTACATGTTTAGGAAATAGATTGGAAGAAGATAAGAAAAGCAAAATAATACATTTGGAAATGTGTGTGTGTGTGTGTGTGTGTGTGTGTGTATGCATATAAATATATTTATTCGTTTTTATTTTTTGTACTAGGGATTGAACCCAGGGGCACTTAGCCACTGTGCCACATCCCCAGCTCTTTTTTTCCCCCCAATTTATTTAGAGACAGGGTTTTGCTGAGTTGCTTGGGGCCTCACTAACTTTCTGAGGCTGGCTTTGAACTTGTGATCCTCCTGCCTCAGCTTCCTGACAGCTTCCTGACTGAGCTGCTGGAATTACAGGCACTACACCTCGCTTGAAAATGTATGTTTTTATACATATTTTTACAAACTGCTTAGCCTAAATAATTTTTTACTGTTGAGAATCACATCAATGTATATCACTTGTTGATGCACTGGTGAGTACATTTCTGATGCCAGGGACTGTGCTAATGTGGAAATTATCACAGTTAATATTACAAGTGATCAGAGTTTCCCATTTTCATAGTATTTCTTACTATCCAGATAGATTATTAGACAAAAAAAAAAGTTATTTTTGAATGAAAGTATGACATTTTTAATGCATTTTCGGACTGTTTTAGTACTGCTGTCATAAAGTTTTTAGTTATCAATCGTTTTGCCAAAAAATACTGTTTTCTATATTTTTTTTTTTCAGTGCTAGGGGTGGAACCCAAAGTACTTGGTCATGTAGGCAAGTGTCCTGCCACTGAGCTGCATCCCAAGTCCTATTTCTATGAAAGTTTTATTCTTTCCCAAAATTGGTATGAGATTATTTCCAAGTAGCACACCAATTATTGTTCATTGTTCATTAACATCAGTTCAGTTTCCCTGATGGGGATGGCATTGCCTAGCAGCTTTGGTAGGAAAGCAACTCATGTAACATAGTCCTCATTTTGGATTCTTACATGTTCAAGGTAGCATTTATAGCTAAAGATTTCATAGGAATGAGATGATCATCTTTATCTCACATTTCTTTCTTTCTCAAGAATTATAGGAGAGCTGGGGCTGGGGTTGTAGCTCGGTGGTAGAGCACTTGCCTCGAATGTGTGAGGCATTGGGTTAGATTCTCAGCACCATATATAAGTAAATAAAAATAAAAGTCCATCAACAACTAAACAAAAAAGAATTATAGGAGAGATATTTCATGTAGTTTGACATTTTATCCTGCTCTTTTGTAGAATGGAAGATGGTGAGCAACAAGTAAAAATGAAGTCCTTCAGGTACATTGAATTGTAAGATGGTACATGGTAGGTGGAAAAGGTCACACACACACACACACACACATATACACACACACACACACCTTTAGCTAAACTAAAAACAATGTAAAGTTAGAATTTATTCATGAATTTCAGGTTTGCCTCACTTGCTATGCTCTGAGAGCAATGTTATCAGTGGCCTGTTACCTTTCTATCTACATGAATAACATTTTGGCTTTTGTGCCTTTAAATTTCTCTTAGAGTAGCTGTTTATTAAAAACAATGATTAGTTTCTTTAAGTATTGGAAAACAACAGATTCATGCTTTGAACAAATCAAAATTGCATCTGAGAAGCATCTGATGTTAGAAGTCCTTCATCATAAACCCTTTGTCATTCATGTCCACATATTCTTTTTTTTTTTTTTTTTAGGTACCCAGGATTGAACCGGGGGTGCTTAATCAATGAGCCACATCCTCAGGCCTTTTTTGTATTTAATTTTGAGATAGAGTCTCCCTGAGTTGCATAGGGCCCCGCCAAGTTGCTGAGGCTGGTTTTGAACTTGCCATCCTCCTTCCTCAGCCTCCTGAGCTGCTGAGATTATAGGTGTGTGCCACTGCGCCCAGCTTCATGTATTCTTTAAACAATAACAGAATAGTTTTCTACATCTGGCAAAAAGTGTCTGGATCTGACTTTTGCGTTTTCTGTATTTATTCTGTCTTCTGAGTCGATTCTATAAAACACTTGCATAGTTCTAAGTAGCCATTGCTTTACTTAGAATCGAGGGCTGATAAATCATCAGTAAAAGAACTGACCTCTTGATAAGTATGCCTTTCCTTAATAAAACCCCCAGAAATATTTTCAGCTCCTTCAAGTAAACTACCATATTCAAAACTGGTAATTTCGCCTCCCTCACAGTTTCCCAGCTCCCACCATCACTGTTCATTGCTCTCCACGGTGGCCCACCTTGTGCCCACCTTGTCCCCAACTTGCACTCATCTCCCTCTGGACCACTGATGCTGCGCATGCTGATGGGTACTTCTGGGAGAAACCAGGGATCATTTTCACAAGAGAATAGCTATGACATTCTTTTTATAAAAATTTCTTTAGGGGGCTGGGGATGTGGCTCAAGCGGTAGCGCGCTCACCTGGCATGCGTGCGGCCCGGGTTCGATCCTCAGCACCACGTACAAACAAAGATGTGTCCGCCGAAAACTAAAAATAAATAAATAAATAAATATTTAAAAAAAAAAAATTTCTTTAGTTTTAGATGGACACAATTCCTTCATTTAATTTTTTTTAATGTGCTGAGGATCAAACCCAGGGTCTCATACATGCCTGCGAGGCTAATGCTCAACCGCTGAGCCACAACCCCAGCCCCAGCCATGACATTCTTTAAATCAGAAAATTTTTAAAATATTTTTTAGCTATACATGGGCACAATATCTTTATTTTATTTATTTTTATGTGGTGCTGAGGATCAAACCCAGGGCCTCACACATGCATGCGAGGTGAGCGCTCTACCACTGAGCTACAACCCCAGCCCCACAAAATCTTAATCTAAAAGTCTTAATCTAAAAGCTCATGATTAGATCAAAGAAGGAACAAATAACTAAATTTTGTGTAAATGAAATTTGAATTCCATCCAGTTCACCCCCAAAGTACCTATTTTGTCTCCAGAGTGGCGTTGCTAAGGGAGAGTGGCTGGGTGGTGGCAATGTCACCATTGGCAGTCTCCGCCAGTGCTCTTCCCACTGACCCCAACCCCTGGCAATCTGGAAAAATTACATTTTTCCATTTGATTAAAAGTCTCTGTAAAAACAGATCAGGGCAAACCTTTCACTTTTCCTCTTTCCCATCAAATTGCTCACCCCCTCAAATCTTCCTTCTTTTTTTCTTCCTTCCTTCCTGTATTTCTTTTTATTGTAGATGAACACAGTACCTTTATTTATTTACTTTTACGTGGTGCTGAGGATAGGACCCAGTGCTTCTCACATGCTGGACGAGTGCTCTACCGCTGAGCCACAGCCCCAGCCCCTCTCCAAATTCTTCATACGTGGTATTTTCAGAGTTACCACAATCTGAGTGTTGTAGGTGAAACAGACAAATGTTTAGAGCAAAATATTGGAAATAAAACAGCATAATTCTTAAAATCTAAGATCTACATTTTTTTCTTGGTACATTTTATCATCTGGGGAAATGTCTTATCATCTGTGACACATTCCTGATAATTGAGGGTATTTTTCTTTCCTTGTGAGTATATTTTACAACTGATGGTGTTTAAGATGGGATGAAATGTGATGGTGGTATTTAAGGTACTGAGGTGGACAATAAAGGGGAATGATTGGTCAGGGAGTCGTCAGAGAAAGCTTTCCAGAAGAATGAGTGAATTTGGTTTTGAAAATAAAATAGGATTTTTTTTAGGCAAGGAAAAGACATTCCAAGCCTGGTGAAGAGTGAGGCGTGGAAGAGGTGTGTGACATTGTGACAAGTGTTTTGGGCATTGCTGCCACATGATGTTTGGAGCTGTCAGGAAAAGATGTGCAAAGATGGAACATGAACCAGGTTGTGAAGAATCTCAAAGTGGAATCAGGGAGCTTGGCTCTTCTTCTGGGGCACTGCAAATGGGCTTAGAGAATTAGGAAGGTGATTTCTGGAAGATGTGTGTAATGGGCTAGAAGAGGAAAACACTGGGAAAAGGAACTCTAAAAGGCTTTGGGGGCCATGCAAAGAACCTAAAGGAAGGCAGTAACAGAGGGGCTGCTCTGGGGATGGAACCCAGGGCCTTGAGCATGCTAGGAAAGTGCTCTACCACTGAGCTACATCCCCAGCCAGAGAAACAGGGATTTTGTGAGTGTTTTTCCTGTTCCCACAGCTCTTTCCTTTTCCCTAAATGGCACCTGCAGGTCCAGAATTGGGCAGAAGAGCACCGGAGCTCGCTTGGCTCATGGTGCTCCAGGGAGTGCCTCTGGGGTGCCTCTGCGTCTGCTGAATGGTAATATAAAGAAGGTTCTCTCTCCCTCTTAGAGAAGCTCATAGCCAAACCGAAAAGCGGAGAAGAGATAAAATGAACAACTTGATTGAAGAACTGTCTGCCATGATCCCTCAGTGCAATCCTGTGGCCCGTAAACTGGACAAACTCACAGTTTTAAGAATGGCTGTCCAGCACCTGAAGTCTGTAAAAGGTGAGTTTGAGAGGAGCTTCCCCCAGAAGCTTCTGGTGTCTTCTCTGATTGGCGTCTCTGGTTGGTTGGTTTTGTTACTGGCTATTGAGATTCTATTCCCATGTGTCTTCCCCCTTTACAGGCATTGTCTGTCCTCAGTCTGTATGTGGTGAGAATATTATATGGAAAGTCAAAAAACTTGGTTCTGATGAAAGCTTTATCTCAAGCTTACAGTGTGAACTCAGAGTCTTTATATTCTGCTTGCTTTTCTGTGTGCAATATGAAGAGGATATTACTTGCCCTTCATATCTCTCAATACTTAAGAAGTTCTGAGGAGCAGTATTAATTATTACAGTATAAAGGCATTGGGAGGTTTCTATTTGAAAACAATCTCCTTGAATTCAATTTCTCTTAAAACGTCATTCAGATTTGTCAGTGATACTTTAAAATACATCACACCTTACCAGTCTCAGGTATCCTCCCACGTACCAAGTCCTTTGCTCTTGCCTTTTGGTGTGTGTGTTCTTGTGTCTGACACTAGCAGTCCCCCAAGTTCAGCCTAACTTTTAAATTGAAGCATAATAAGTGCATATGTGTCTACATTATAGCAGAGACCATACCTGGTTTGGGAATAACTCCAGTCTAATTTGAGGGGCTGGGTAATGGAAGTAGAAAATTGAGTTTTAGATATTGTAATATTTTTTATACAAACTTGGGTTGAGAAGACAAGACCTGGCAGAGTAGCAAGCTGAAGACCACAGAGGAAACTCTGAAGATTTGTAAAGATCTAAAAGATGATGGCAAAATTTGGCTCAAAATGTATAAAAAAGGAATGAACAAAGGTTGACCAAGGGGCTTAGTCTAGATCTCTGTCCTACACTGCAAGCCATCTTTTTCAGGGAAAAGGAAATTACATGGGCTTCCTTCAGAGACTTTGCCAGGTCCAGTTGAAGCAACTTAGAGGAGAGCAGTATTACTCCCGAGGCTTCCTTTTGGGAGTGTGATTGGAGATCTTACTTTCATAATAGTCTATTGTGCAGTAAAGTTCTCTTTCGCCCACAAGTGGACTTGCAAAAAGTGTATGCAGCATTTCCCTTGAATCTTGTAGCAATGAAAATTTGCAGGCTCAACTGAGGTCATCTGATTGCAACCTTGAAATTACCCATGTATTTTCACGTTAGTCCTGAGAAAGGAGAACCTAAGCTAGGGATCAGCCAACGAATTGAACTACATGCCTGCTCTGTGCTAGGGTTTAAAAATGAATGAGTCAAGGTTCTGCCCGCTAGGGGTTCATGGCCAGACAAGGGGGACAGTCTGATGGCAAAATCATTAAAACCTGCTGTGGTAAATGTCCCAGCAGAGGTCTGAGTGTAGTGAGAGGCCATGGGAGCTTGGTGGGGAGGAGGCACTCTCTAAATCCATGGGGGATTCCTTGCAGCAGAGTGTCAATTTTTGCCTTCAGTCCTTCTGAGCTGAAGTGAGTGGTCAGGTGCTCATCCACACAGCCTCACCAGGTCCTTCAGTCAGTGCTGCTCCCCCTTGCATGAGATGACATAGGCCATCGGATCTGCATCCTGTACACTTGGTAGAGTATACCAGGCTTGCTCTGCGGAAGTGTAGAAGCTGGGTTTTCAAGGGCTGCACGTGAACCATGTATCTTGGTCCATACCATAATTACTTTAAAGACAGACCATTGTTGAAATAATTTTTTTCCCACTACACTCTTCAGTAGTGCTTTTCAAACTAAATGGGTGGGGGAACAGTGTAACCTGCTGCTACTCCCCACCTATTGTAGAATACAGTTGATAACTGGAAAAATAATCAAGGGCTTAGATGACATGAAAATGTTAGCACTTCTGTAAAACTGTCATAACTGCTTATTCTTAAATTCTGACCTCATCTCCCTGTGGTTTGCTGATGCCTGTGGTCTGCAGACCACGTCTGAAGAGGCCCAGCTCTGCAGCATGTGCTTTCAGAGAGCCTGTGAGCATCCTGTGTCTGCAGTCTGTTTGCCAGTGGTGGTGGCAGAGTGGAGTGGTTCATGTGTGTAGGCCCTGGTGGCAAACTTCCTAATCCAGACTCCTTGAATTTCATAACTGTGATTTACACAAGCCATTTGACATTCTAACACTCAATGTCCATGTGTCTAGAATGGGGATGATGCATCTGCCTTTGGGGTTGTTTTTAAAGAGTAAAGAATTAGGGGCTGAGGTTGTGGCTCAGTAGTAGAGTGCTTGCCTGGTATGTGTGAGGCTTGGGGTTCGATTCTCAGCACCAAACATATACATAAATAAATTAATTAAATAAATAAAAGTCCACCAATAACTAACTAAAAAATATTTTTGAAAAAGTAAAAAAATTAATGCATATGAATTGCTAGCGTAGTTTTCTAACGGGGAAGGTGGTAGTAAGAATGTTGGTAATTGTCATTTGGGGTCCCTTTGAGCTCTGCCACCCATAACCAACATTGTGGGAAAGTGAAGCAGTCATGCTGCCTTGTCGTTTTTGCTGTTGGAATTCTGAAAGCAGGTGTGTTAGAGCTCGTGGCTCTATCTAATATCTCAGCATCTGTGATGTTGGCTAACCTGCTGTAGCCTCAGCCCTACCTGCTCTGCCCTCCTTTCTCTTCAGCATGTGCTTCCTCCCCAGTGTGGTCAGGACGCTCATTTTCGTGATTTTCACTGACAGGTTTTCCCTAACTTGCTTCTGCTGTATGTGCTCTGCCAATCTTGCTTCAAGCCAGATCTAGAAATGTCCCCCCTGTGTTCAGAATTTCTCCACTGCTGTACCCTGGCCCTGAACCCTGTCTGAGTGTCTTTCAGTTCTTTCTCAACTCCCTCCTGCTACAGTCCACCAGGTGCTGTGTCATAATAACAAAGGAGAAATCATTCAGGGGAATTCTTTGAGGCCTAAGATGCTTGTTCTTTTGGACAGAGGAGATTTTCCTTTGCTTATGCTGGGCTTTTCGGGATTCTACTAGTCTGGGAAAATGTAACCCACTCACCATGAAGTGCTTTTGGTTTTCTGTCCCCTGTCATTTAGGTTATCAGTGAGTGTGGGCTGCAGGTCTATTCAAGGGTCAATTTGTGGTTAAAATGTCTTGGGGTGTTATCCCCACCTAACTCTTTCAAAGGGAGTTGGGGAAAGTGGATTTGCTTCTGCATCACAATTGCCCTGGGGATCTTGCACTTTGGTAATGTGGCTCAGCCTCTGCGCCCCCTTGTGGCCACAAAGGGCTATCACATGTCGGGGTTGGATGCTCTCAACACAGGTAGTTTGGGTTCTTGCTGGTCTCTGGTCAAACGTTTACCCAGGTTTTGGTCTGACGAATTCCTTCTCTTTGTTTCCAATGTTTCATTTGCTTTAGAGGCTTTAATTTCAATATAATGATCTCTGAGTTAGGGGTTCAAAATGAATTATTTCATTTGTATTTTACATAGTTTTTGCATATTATTAAAGTCTCCATGTAATCTTTGAAGGAGTTTTTTTAGTTGAAAATACTACAAATCCATAAAATTTGTTTACATTTCCAGGCTTTCCCCATCCAGGGGAGTTCTTATGGTGAGTTTTAATAAGCTTAAGAATCAAATTAACTCTTCTGTATTCTTGAATATTGTTGCACATGCATTTTATAATGCTTTTTTAAAGCTTTTATTATTTGTGAATTTGAATACAAAGGAATGAGTAGTCCCAAGGATTTACAACCCCAACACAAGGTTTTTAATCTAGTAATAATGGAAGAAGAGAAAGCTTACAGAAGAGAAAATGCTCCCCCGCCATCCTCCTCAGTAGCACCAGCAGCCTTGCTAGGGCTCACTGAGAACTTACCTCATTTCCCTCTCCACTCTATTTTCAATAATTTTTTGGTCTGTTTATTTTTAGGCATGACAAATTCTTATTTAGGAGATCACTATAGACCTTCATTTATTCAGGATAATGAACTCAGGCACCTAATCCTTAAGGTAAGTGAAGGGATACATGTCTAAGTTGTATTTGTCCCTTCATTTCTGAGTGGGAGGCAGATTTTCTTTGCTTCTGTTCAAACACACAGAATACAGAATGTGTGTTCTACCACATTTCTTCTAATATAGAAATAGAAGACAGAAATTGGTGTGCCTTATTAGTGAAGGAGACATGAAGGATGGGCCCTGTCGCCTGTCTGTAACGTGAACTCCTTACACAGCCTGATGGTTTTCGTGTCCCATAGTGTAGTGTCTGTCCCCACTCTTGTCACCTTTTTGGAGCTTTCCAACTAGTGTCCTGTTCCTCAGGATCTTGTTCTCTGATCACTAACAGTCACAGCTTGCAGAATGGGTTATTGGTCTATGCATTTCTGTCCTCATTCTTCCATATGTATGAGGATTCAGAGTCACCGTTTGGAGGTTTGCCATGGAAGATGTGACATGTGACTGGCTTATCCTGGACAGATGATAAGTGTCTTGGTCATCTGCTATGACATGAGCTTCAAGCTGTACTCTTATTAAACAGTCTTCATATATGTTTTCATGATTTTCTTCATTTTTTCTTTAAGGTTTTTTATTTTTGCTTTCAGTGCTGGAGATTGGACCCAGAGCCTCGTACATGCTGGGCAAGTGCTCTACTATCCCCAGCCCTTAGATTTTGTTGTTCTTGTTTGTTTTTTAGAAAGTTTTTCTTTTATTTAAACCATGAAATGTAAATAGAGTATTCCTAACATGAATAAATAGGAATTTTTGCAGATAACAAAATAATAATTTTTAAACATAGGGAAATGTATTTCTGGGAAGCTTTCTCACAAATCTTTGTATTTTTTTTCAGTCATAACTTCATACCTATAATTGTGGATCCCATCCCCTTCCCCCGAATATTTGTGCCTAATTCACCTCACTCGTTTCCAACTGGTAAAAATAAGTTCAAGGAATGCCAAGTAGGAGTGCCAGACTCCTGTTCTGTGTTTGTTCATCTCCATTTCCCTATTGGCTGCATCACAGGGGAATTTGTCGGGTAGATATCATGGGAGATGAGGATATGTTAGAATTTTTAGTCTGTTTTTGAATGAGTGGTCGCATTATTCAGAATGTATGTGAAAGTGTCGTGAAGGTGTCCAGTGACGCATGTCCAACCTTTCCTGGCCTGCACAATGCCCTCACCTCAGCACACCCTCCATCCTCACTATGGGTGGGTTTTTGTTTTGGGTTTTTTTTTTTTTGTTTTTTTTTTTTGATGACTAGAGTTCCTGTATGTAGGAGAGTAGAATTTGGTCAAGGTAATTTTTATATTAGGAAATATCTGAACTGAACGTTCCACAGCTAAAGCTTCCATGTCAAAACATAAGCTAGGATTCAGTTTGATCATCTATCAATCTTTACATCCTAATAAATTTTCTTGGGCTGGGGCTGGGCTCAGTGATAGAGTGCTTGCCTAGCACATGTGAGGCCCTGGGTTTGATTCTCAGCACTGCATATAAATAAATAAAATAAAGCTCTATTGAAAACTAAAAGAAATATATTTTTTTAAATTCTTAAAATTGATTTTTACCATCTCGGTAAGCACTCTTGATTTTATTGCCACATATTTTCCTTAACATCTGAACTAATGTAAGACATAAGATATTTTACACTTTATTGTTTTGTTTTTTTTAAATCCTAGACTGCAGAAGGCTTCCTGTTTGTGGTTGGATGTGAAAGAGGAAAAATTCTCTTCGTTTCTAAGTCAGTCTCCAAAGTACTTAATTATGATCAGGTATCCAAAACTAAGGATGTTTTCCAATGTTTAATTTTTTGAACAAATACATATTTCTGAAGCTATTTCTAAACAACTAATCCATGGGATGTGGGATTAGGTTTCGCTAAATTAGAAGAAGGTACTTGGAAAGAGGGTAGGTTTTTATTACTGACATCTGTGTTCTTTTCTTGACTTTTAGCAGGCTAATTTTCCTGAACCCCAGCCTCCTTCTATGTAAATATGGGAAATAATAATTATACCTGTCTCTCAGGGTGCAGTGACTAAAAAAGATACCAAACTGGAGTGTCTGAAAAGTGTTAGTCACCCTTCTGTATGTCAAGAGACAGCATTATTGCTCATTATTAAGTTATATACATTGCATAATAGCTCTTGATTTCAGCTCTGGCAACAAATCCAAGGCACATCTTTTGTGAAACTGGCTTACCTCATTCCTGAGCACTGTTTAATTTCAACTAGCTACTCAAAAACTACAGTAGTGAAACTAATCAGACAGAGTGAATAAACTAGAAATCAGGTAGACCACAGCTTTGATCTTGAGTAACTCCCATTATTTCCTCTCTGTTTTCAAGGTTGGGAGGATATGAGGCATTTATAGGTAATGGGTTAAATATTAGAAAAGATGTATTATAAGCCTTTATGCAGAAGGATTGAGAACCAGTTAATCATGCAGCTGTGACAGCTGGGGACACAGGAGTGGTACAAGACCTGATGACTCCTTTTTAATTGGAGTTGGAGATCACCATACACACACACCAAGCTAAGATAACTGATGATACAGGGTAGCATTTAAGTTCCAAATCAGTGGCACGGATTTAAGTTCCACTGGGCACTGACTTTTTCACATCAGAGCCCTTTTAAGTGGCTCACTGGCTACTCGGGAAGATGTTGGGATCCCTGTGATAGATAACAGGATCTAGTTGGCTTTTCAGATTCAGAAACCTGACTTTCTCCAAAGTATAGAGTTATGGACATACACTTATATCAGCCAAACACATGACACCCTAGTACATAAGTCAGGTTGCTAGTTTTCTAGTCTCTCTGTCTTCTTGTGTCAGCTGGTCCATCTGTTCCACCTGCTACAGGAATGTCTACCTGGGTAATTCAGGAGTTCAGAAGAGGTATGATCATTGTAGTCAGACAGGGGAGTAAGAGGTTTTCTGGGGTGGGTTTTTTTTGTTTTGTTTTTTGTTTTTTTTTTTTTAGTATTATGTTTGTTTAGAGTATAGTGATCTTATACTCTAAAATTGGATATTCTGTGATTTACATATTCTATAATGTAATCTTTTTGCTTTTATCAAGGATAAAAAAGCTCAAAGTAAATTATAGTGATTTATACATACTATGTAAATTGGGGGGTGTTAAAAACAGTAACAAGATTTAACTGAATATTGGGAATTAGGCATTTGTATATGGTTTGTGATTATCCAAGAATAGTTCTGAGTGCATGTATTTTTTTCTGTCTACAAGTATCACCATGCTTCTAACACTGACTTAGTCAATGTCTCACCATGTAGTGGATATATATCTTTGAGCTTAAGAAAATCAGCCTTTAATAGGGAATATTTATCATATGTCTGTGTGAGGAAATGTAAAAAAAATGTGGCACTGATTTTTAAATGCACCTCTGCCTTATGAATAGGCTAGTTTGACGGGACGAAGCTTATTTGACTTCTTACATCCAAAAGATGTTGCCAAAGTAAAGGAACAACTTTCTTCTTCTGATACTTCACTAAGAGAGAAGCTAATAGATGCCAAAAGTAAGTACTCACTTATTTACCATTTTCTATAAATATAATTGTTACCTGAAAGTACAGCTGTACAGTTTTTTTAAACCAGCTAATTAAGGTTTTATCAAGAAGAGAATTAGTGAACTTTATGTTCACCAGCTCTAGAGGGTGAAAAATACATAGCTATATAGAGAATTCCTAGACTTACACAGACACCTGAAAATAAGTATAGCGATCAATTCAAATGAAGGTGCTTTGGGAAACATATGACTGATTCATAGTCATTATTTTTTTATAAGCAAATGAATTTTTCTAAGAAGATATTGTTTGGGGTAAAAACAATTGTTGGAGTTTTCATTACTTAGGTATATGCTGAGAGACAATACCTGAGTTAGTTCTTCTCAGTATGAAAGACCTTGTTGTTATACTAACTGGTCTCAGGAAGTAGACTAATTCTTTATATTCTGTGAAAATACTTAGTCTCTGAAAATGCTGAGTGCCAATATGATATAAAAATTCTATGCCACTGACAGTGGTTGTAGTGAAGTTTTTCTTTATTTTTTTAATTCAATTTTTTATTTCATATAAGTTTATTATCCACCCCATGATGGGGGAGAAAAACTGCAAGTGTTTTGAATTGTCCAATGTGATTGCTTGACAACCACACTTTTTGGTATGTTCAGTTCAGGATTTATTGTATAATCATAATGTTGCTTTAAATAATCATTTATTTTCTCAATTTGTTAAAACACTGTAGGTGATCAGAAAACATCAGGAGGTAAATTTTAAAAGTATTTGAAAATATTCCTTTCCACCTCTTCTCTTGCCCCCTTCTGCCAAAGCTGGTTTGCCTGTTCACAGTAATTGCCACGCTGGAAGGACACGTGTGTATTCTGGCTCCAGACGATCTTTCTTCTGCCGAATAAAGAGCTGTAAAATCTCTGTCAAAGAAGAACACGGATGTTTACCCAACTTAAAGAAGAAAGGTATGATCCTTTTGAAATGTCAAGTGATTTGTAGCATAGATGCAAATTTTAATGTCCTAAATACTTTCCATACAGAAAAAAGTAAAATGGATAGTCAGGGCTTCAAGACCAAAAACACCTAAGAAAATAAGATTTTTTTTAATATTTATTTTTTTAGTTTTAGTTGGACACAGTATCTGTATTTTATTTTTATGTGGTGCTGAGGATTAAACCAGTGCCTCATGCATGTGAGGCAAGCACTCTACCGCTGAGCCACAACCCCAGCCCATAAGATTGTTTTTTAACCATGATTATTTAGATTGGTTCATTGTATCTTTCAAATATATCAGGTAATTACATATTTTCTTCATTGACCAAGATTTTAATAGTGCTATTGAAATTGTAGTTTGGGGGCTAGGGTTGTGGCTCAGTGGTAGAGCGCTTGCCTAACATGTGTGAGACATTGGGTTCGATTTTCATCACCACATATATATAAATGAATAAAATAAAGATCCATACATATAAAAATATTTTAAAAAAATAAAAAAAAGAAATTATAGTTTGGGAGCTATTAAAGGAGATGACCAGAGATGGAAATGAAAATTTTGTTATGGCACTCCACTGTTCCTTTTTAAAATATAAAAGATCTTTTTTAAAAGAAGTTAAACACACACACACACACACACACATACACATACACAAATGTTAATGGCACAATAGCCTTTTTTGATTAATTTCAGCAAAAGTTTCTTAAAATATTCAAGATGTGGTTTTAATTCTCGTGACATTGTGGTTCTTTGGTAAATATTTGTCTTGCAATTCTTTTCTACATTCATCTTGCAGATGCTTTATGAGTTGGTTAAAAACTCATTTGTTTAACTTTGTGAGGGAATTTTAGGAACTGCAAAATATCTTATAACTTTTTTTTGCCTAAGAATATACTAAGCTATATAGGATTTTTTAATTCAAATTTCAACTTGAGATTTGTTTTCTTATCCTTTAGGAGGCTTTTTGTATGGAGCTACAGGATTTAACTTACAAATTTTGGTCTGAATTGTTTTTGACAACCGCCTAAAATGATAACCACTCATAACCACTCAATAAGCATTTACCCTATGCCAGATACTATGCTAAGTGAATTAATCCTCATGAAAACCTTTTTGTTGTTGTTGGTTTTTTTGGTGCTGGGGATAGAACCCAGGGCCTCAAGTATGCTAGACAAGCACTCTACCACTGAGCTCTCCCCCAGCCCCATGAAAATACTATTCTTACCTCTATTTAGAATCAAAGATGCTCCAGGTTCTCGTTGTGGGTTCTACCTCACAACAGAAATGCTGGTGGGTAGCCTTAGGGCACAGTCGGAAGTGCCTGGGCTCTGAATTCCCTAGGGTTTTAGTGTCAGGTCTGCCACTTAAGAACTGTGCACCCTTAGGCAAGTTCCTCTTAATTTACAGAAAGTGAATGTTATGGACTGAATTTATGTTTTCCCCAAATTTGTATGTTGAAGTTCTAACCTCCCTGTGACTGTATTTATAGCCAGAGGCGTTAAAGAGGTGATGGGGTTAAACAAGGGCTTAATGGTACAGCCTTTGCCCAATAGGACTGGTGTCCTGAGAGGAAGACTAGGAGACACTAGGGTTGTTCGTCCACACAGAGAAAGGCCATCTGTAAGCCAAGGAGAGAGGCCTCAGGAGAAACCAAGCCTGCCAGTTCCTTGATCTTAGATGTCTAGCCTCTAGCATTGTAAGAAAATTGCTTGTTTGGGCCTGTGTGTGGTGTTTTGTTATGGCAGCCTGAACTGAGCTGATGAAGACTAGGAGTGCAGTTCTCTTTCATGTGGCTCATTAGTGCTTGGCTCCCAGGGGGCACTCAAACAATAGCTAGTATTTGTGGCTCAGAAGGAAGAGAAGGAAAAATGAAAGAGAACAAGGAGAGAATGAATACCTTGGAAAGGTATTTCTTGTCCCTGGCCCTTGGTCACACTTGTTTTGTGACCTAACATATGGTCTGTTCTAGAGAAAATAACATGTATTGATGAAAAAAATATGTATTCTGCAGCTGTTGGATGGAATTTTCTGTAAAAGTTCATTTCATAGATCATTTAGTTTCTTTGTTGACTTCTGTGTGGATGAATCTGTCTGTCAATGAGAGTGGGTACTAAAATCCCCTAGTATGATTGTATTGGCGCCTCTCACCCCCTTTAGGTCTAATAGTGTTTGTTTTATAAAATCTGGTGCTCGCACATTAGGTATGTATGGATTTACATTTGTCTTCTTGGTGAATCAATCCCTTGATCATTAGCGACCTTCATGGACTCTTGTTAGTTTTTGTCTTAGTCTAGTTTGCCAGGTGTAAGGGTAGCTATTCCTACTTGCTTTAAGATTCCATTTGCTTGGAATATCATTTTCACTTTGTCTCTTTCTTTATTGGTATAGAAAGCCTACTATAGGCAGCATAAAATATTGTTTGTTTAAAACAAAATAAAAACAATATTTTATATTGTTTTATTCAGCCAGTCTGGGTTTTGTTTGTTTGTTTTGGTACTGGAGATTGAACCCAGGGGTGCTTTACCAACAAGCTATATCCCCAGTCCTTTTTATTTTTAGACAGGGTCTCACTAAGTTGCTGAGGCTGGCCTCCAACTTAACACTCCTCCTACCTAAGCCTCCAAGTAGCTAAAATTAGAGGTGTTCATCACTGCACTGCACCCAGCAAGGCTTATTATTTTTGACTACCACCTAGTTTTGTTAATATGAATGAAAACATTGTATATATGATTATCCCTATTATAATTCCTTTGAGTTATGTTGGACATTAGGGTGATGTAAAGGAAAGAGCATGGAATAGTTCTAGGTTTCTCATTTAACTGCCTGGGTTAATTGTGGTGGCATGAATCAGGATAGGGAAGAAGTGATAAAGACCAGGTCTAAGGTTGGAAGGGAACATGAGTTTTGTTATTTAAGGCATCCATGGACTGTGGAGAAGATGATGTCTATTGGGTGTTGAATGCAAGGTCTTGTGTATGGTTTACAAGACCTCAAGGGTGTTCCCTGCTTTATTCTCCAGCTGTTACCCATGCAGCCTCTGCATTAGCCACATCTGATTACTGTCTCATCTGTTTGCTCTGGCTGTTCCCTCTGACTGGGAACACCCTTTTGTACCTGTGCCCTTCACCTCCTGTCTGAGAACCTCCCATAATAGAGCATTCACTGTCAAACAAATAGCATGGCATGAGTAGCTCAGGATCCGGGCTCTGGACCAGCCTGTTTGGATGTAAACCTCAGCTGCACCCTGTACCTGCTGCAATTTTGGCAATAACCCTGGTTCCCAAGACAATGAGGGTAATATTAGAACCTCACCCAGGACTCTGAGGATGGAATAAGTTATACATTTAAAGCACTTAAAACAGGATGGCACATGTCTTCTAGACATGTTTGCAGTTATCACCTTGCTCTTTTTAAGATAACCCATATGGTCTTCCACTTAAATTTTTTTTTTCTTTTTAAGATTTATTATGATAACAGTCTTTCCAAATAATGCCAATGTAAAACAAAGCTTGTTCTGGATTTTCCTAAATCTGATCACAAACAAGTTGTTTAAAAGACTTTTCCTTTCTCTCCCTCTACTTTTTACCTCCTAAATCCCCTTTTTGGAGGACTGCTATGAACTGTATACTGCCCATCTTTTAGGCCTGTGTTGTATTTCATTGTTTTCTTAGGCATTTCCTGATATTTGAGCATATGGGATATTTCCAGTTTTTTATTCTAGTAGACCTGTTTGACAGGCTGTTCCCTATGAGTTCATTGCTTGGGATTTTTCTGAAAAGTGATTTTTTTAGGCAGATTTTATCTTTACCTTTTATTACATTTATCCAAATATTCCCTAAAATATTTCTATAATATACCATGTATATTATTATTATAAGTGCTAACATAGGAAATTTAAGAATGTATGCATAATGATTTAAATGTTCTTTTTAAGCTTATGAATATAAACTATAATATACCCCCAAAATTAACAAGCTAAAAGACATGAAATTTAACTTTTTCTAAGATATAATTATTATAATTTAAAACCCTGGGAAACTGGGAGCATTGGCACATGCCTATAGTCCCAACTACTGGAGGCTGAGGCAGGAAGAACTCAAATTTAAGGTCAGTTTCAGCAACTTAGCAAAACTTTGCTCAAAATAAAATGAAAAGGTCTAGGGATGTAACTTAGTAATAGAGCCCTGGACTGGGTATAGCCAAAGCTCTGGATCAGACCCCTAGTACCACAAAAACAAAACTGACTTGGAATATATAAAGTATAGGCCTACTTAATCCTAAATTAAAGCAATCAGTTACTTTTCTGACGTAATTTAATTTAGTTCCTAGGGGGGAAAAACCCCTATTAATAAAATCATTAATCAAATATTTTTTGGGGGGGGTACCAAGGACTGAACTCAGGGGCACTTGACCCACTGAGCCACATCCCCAGCACTATTTTGTATTTTATTTAGAGACAGGGTCTCCCTGAGTTGCTTAGTGCCTTGCCATTGCTGAGGTTGGCTTTGAACTTGCGGTCTTCCTGCCTCAGCCTCTCTAGCTGCTGGGATTACAGGCATGTGCCACTGTTCCTGGCATTTTTTTTTTTTTTTTTTTTAAGAATGAAAGGAGTAGGATTTATTATTCAGGTGTGTGGAATAGAAACAGAACTCTTGCAGGGGTGAGAGGGGAGCCCCCTAGGGGTTGTCCTTGATGGTTTCTTTTTGATGCGATTCCCTTCCCCTTTCACTGTAGCATATTTAAAGACCATTTCACATCCATTATAATTACTGTAAATGCCAATGTAAGAAGTTTTAGAGTTTATAATTATGCAAATGTCCTTTTCTAAAAATGTTTAATTAGATCATAGAAAATTCTGTACCATCCACTGCACTGGTTACCTGAGAAGCTGGCCTCCAGATATGGTTGGAATGGAAGAGGAGAGGGACAACAAGAAAGACAACAGTCATTTTACCTGCCTCGTTGCCATTGGAAGATTGCATCCGTATATTGTCCCACAGAACAGTGGAGAAATTAAAGTGAAACCAACTGAATTCATAACACGGTTTGCAATGAATGGAAAATTTGTGTACGTAGACCAAAGGTAAACATTTACATGATATAAAGATGTGGCATTCGATGGGGTGTTTGAGGCTATGAAAGCTGTAGTTTAGTAGTACTGCTGGTTTTTTTTTTTTAAGGCTTCAGAGCAGGGAATAAAGTTTAGGTGAGACAAGGGTACGGATGTGTCAGTAAATTTGTTCAAACAAAAATATAAATTGGGAAAATATTTGTTAACCAGTAATGCGGAGACTGGGCCTGGCTAGTGGCCACAGTTTTGATGGGGAGTAGTAAGGGCGCTCCTGGGGTTGGGTGGAGGGCTGTGTCCGTGTGACTGTTCTGGTGTGCAGCCCTAGTCCTGGCTAGAGCCACCAAGGGCAGCCTAATAGTCACTCATCCCCAAGGCCACAGCCCCGCTATTCTGACCACAGCTGGGCCTCCCGTGTTCTGGGAGGGAGTGCACTCACCAATTCTGAAGTTTGTTTTCAATCTTAAAACCAGGGCAACAGCCATTTTAGGATATTTGCCTCAGGAACTTTTGGGAACTTCTTGTTATGAATATTTCCATCAAGATGACCATAGTAACCTGACTGACAAGCACAAAGCAGGTACGCTGTGCCCTGAGCGGAGTACTTTTGGGGTGATTTTTTTTTTATTACAGCTTCAACTCTGAAATTTCTCCTCCTGTGAAATTAGTAATGTGAATCATTCTTCAAGAAATTGATTTTTATGGTGACTTATACTTATTGGCTATTATTTTATTAATTCTTAATTACTATTTAGTTTTTAATTGTATCTAATTTTATTAAATTTTTAAATTTGTTCTAATTAGTTATACGTAACAGTAGAATGCATTTTGACACATTGTACACAAATAGAGCACGACTGCTCATTCCTCAGGCTGAATGTGGTGCAGGGTCACTCTAGTAGTGTAATCATACACGTATGTAGGGTAATAATGTCTGTCTCATTCCACCATCCTTCCCATCCCCACTGCCCCTCCCCTCTGTATAATCCAAAGTCCCTTCATTGTTCCCTCCCTCTCCCCCATTATGGATCAGCATCTGCTGATCAGAGAAAACATTAGGCCTTTGGTTTGGGGGGATTGGCTTATTTCATTTAGAATGATATTCTCTTGTACTATCCATATCTACAAATGCCATAATTTTATTCTTCTTTAAGGCTAATATATGTACCACATTTTCTTTATCCATTCATCTGTTGAAGGGCATCTAGGTTGAATCCATAGTTTAGCTATTGTCAATTGAACTGCTATAAACATTGATGTAGTTATATCACTTAGTATGCTGATTTTAAATCCTTTGGGTATAAATCAAGGAGTGGGATAGCTGGGTCAAATGGTGGTTCCATTCCATACTGCTTTCCAAAATGGTTGCACCGATTTACAGTCCCACCAGCAACGTATGAGTGTACCTTTTCCCCCACATCCTTGCCAACACTTATTATTGCTTGTATTCTTGATAATTGCCATTCTGACTGGAGTGAGATGAAATCTTAGAGTAGTTTTCATTTGTATTTCTCCAATTGCTACAGATTAATTTTGTTAAATTTTTAATTTAATATTTAATTTGATTAATATTTAATAATGTTTTTTCTTGTTAAGTTCTACAGAGTAAGGAGAAAATATTTACAGACTCATACAAATTCAGAGTAAAAGATGGCTCCTTTGTAACTTTAAAAAGCCAGTGGTTTAGTTTCACTAATCCTTGGACCAGAGAACTAGAATATATTGTGTCTGTCAACACACTAGTTTTGTAAGTACTTTACTTTTAAGACCTTCATATTAATTTCAAATGGATGCAATTTTTCCCCCTAAATATTTTCAGTCTGCAGTTGGTAGAATCCATGGATGCAGAACTTGAGGATGCAGAGGGTCCGCTGTGTTCTGAGTTGTTCATTGGCAATAGTTCCCCCAATTAAACTAAAAGTTTGCTCTTTTGTAATGTACTTTTGCTTGGTGTAATACATGATGGTAAAAGCATTTATCTAGGCATTTCCTTCCTACCCTTCATGATCTTGTCTTGTCCTTAAACTGCATGTCATTTTGCATGTACATCCTCTCAGTCTGGGTGCCACATGTGACTGAGTGGGGCGTGCCAGTGAGTGAGTAGAAATCCAGCCCAAGTGTTGCTAGGCAACACGGTCTATAGCTGTGTCAGCCTGAAGGAAGAGCCCACTTTTCCTGACTGGCAACATTATGTTCCCATGGCCCTGTTCTAAGTTTTATTGTTTTTCTACAAGTTTCTCTTTTATGATGCTATAAGGTTTTATTAGACCTATTGATTGATTGATTGATTGGGTATAAGGGATTTGAACCCAGGGGGGCTTAACTACTGAGCCGCATTCCAACCCTTTTTATTTTTTATTTTGAGACAGGGTCTTACTATGTTGCTGAGGCTGGCTTTGAACTTGCAATCCTCTTGCCTCAGCTTCCCGAGCTGCTGGGATTTCAGGCGTGTACCACCATGCCCAGCTATTGATTTTATTATCTGCAATATTTGGTATATAAAAAAAAAAGCACCAAAAATTTATCTCAAACATTCCCTGTCACCATTTCAGTAATCTTTGCCTTCTTATCACTAGGATAGGAACTGAGAATTTGTTACTGTGAGACCATATACTTAATAGGGCATTTGGTAATGGCCCTGATAATTAGCACATCAAATACCTTGATGTGGTGATATTAACAATATGTACATTAACATGTACATAAAGCATTAAATGGGCCAAGAATTGACAAATCAAATGCATGGAGCTTAATGTAGTTGTTTTAACAATTTTCTTTATCTTAGGGGGAAAAAATCACCTGTTTTTTCTAAATTCTAGGGGGCATAGTGAGACCAGAGGAGCATCATTATTTCACTGCAGCTCTCAATCATCAGAAGGTAAGTTTAGGTTTTAGTTGGTGGAAGACTTGTTGCTAAGACCATTAAGACTATTACTTAATAGTATTATGCAGTTACTTTTTTTTTCTGTCTTGGGGAGGGGAAAATTTCAAGGTGAAATTAGAAGACTTCTATGGGTGGCTTATCGGCATCCCAAATTTGGGAGTAAGTTCACAGGGAAATAGGTATCCCCTTGGAAACTCCCAGGAGTGCCACCATGTCCCCTTTAGAATGCCCACAGCACTTTGTTCACACTTCGGTTACTGCCTTCATTGTGTTTCCATGAGTTGTGCACCTGTTGGGCTCCCCCTGGCTTCAGGAGCAGGAATAATGTTTTAACAGCCTTCCCTGGCAGCCAGCGTCATCCCTTGTCTGTTGTGGTGCTTGTTAAACATCTGTTGCAGAAATTATAAGCATTAAGGGCAGCTTTTGCTTATCTGTTACCATATTTCACCACATAATTATCACCACCTCATTAGCATATATTCACAAGGATTCCATGCATCCTAATGTTGCACCAAAAACAGTTTAGTAATGAATGATTTCTAAGTAATACCAGCACAATTTCTATTTTTTTAAACTTTACATAATGGTGGCACCCACTATTTTGCAAAAAAAAAAAAATTGGCATAAAATCTGTAATGATTATTGGTGAAATATGGTAGTTTTAAACCACAGGGTTGTACTAATATATTTGTGTAATAAAAATATTAGGAAATATGAGAAATAAAGTAGTATTTCTCAGACCTTCATATGGAGATGAAAGTAGGAGAAAGAGAACTAGAAAATTATTTGAATTGAAAGTTATTAACCATATGAAAAATTGTGGTATATATGCGTAATAAGAATTGTAATGCAAAAAAAAAGTACATGTATAAAGACATGAATTGGTGTGAACATGCTTTATATACAGTGATATGGAAAATTGTGCTAAGTGTAATAAGAATTGTAATGCATTCCACTGTCGTGTAATTTAAAAAAATAAAAGCAATGAAAAACAAAAGAAAAAGATCTGGAAAACTGGGGGAAAAAAAGAAAGTTATTAATCAAAGTTACATACTTTTTAAACGTCTCAGTTGAATTATTTTTCTTTTGCTGTTGCTTAGAATCCCCTAAGCAATCTTGCATCCATGTGCCTGGAATGTCTACTGGAACTGTACTTGGTGCTGGCAGTATCGGAACAGACATTGCAAACGAAGTTCTGAATTTACAAAGGTAGTGTTTTATTGCTGCATATATTTTCACAAGTAAATTTATCATTTACAAAACCAATATACAAAAATCAGTTTTTCTATAAGCAAATAGGCAGTTTACTAACATAATGGAAGAGATTAGCACTAGAACAATATTTAAAAAAATAAAATATTTTGTTACAAATTTTTAAAAAATATTTCTTAATTGTCAATGGATCTTTTATTTAATTGATTTATTTATATGCAGTGCTGACAATTGAACTCAGGGCCTCACACATGCCAGACAAGCACTCTACCACTGGGCCACAACTCCAGCCCTATAGATTTCACAAGAAGTATCCAGGGCTGAGGTTGAGGTTTAGCTCAGTGGTAAACTATTTACCTGGCATGTATAAGGTCCTGGGTTTGACCAGCACCATCCAAAATAAAATAAAAAAGAAAAGTTTCCAGACCTACATAAAACAACCACTACCTTTAATATTTACAAAGATACAGAAAAGGTAACTCAAATAACTTTTATGACATAGCTGTTTTTCATTGTGAAAATTTGATATAAAATGTAGTATCCTTAGACTGAATCCAGTCAAAAATGCTATCATGCATTTATTTTTGGAATTTGACAAATGACACTAATTATATTAAAATGTCTAGAAAACTTCAAAACAAAAAAAAAAATAAAATGAGACTAACCCTGTCAGAGACTAAAAAATGTTTTAAAGCTGTAATCACTATATTTTGGTATAACCCACAAATAGATTAATGTAAAAGATTAGTTTTCCAAAATAGACTCAACTGCATATGGAAAGTTACTGTATAGTAAAAGTGGCTTTTTAAATCAGTAAGTGGAAATAAGTCATACTGTGTATCAAGTTTAGTACATAGATGTAAACTTTATAAGAATTTATATATTAAAACTTTTTATAACTACTCTTTATGCTATAAAACTCTTCATATATTAATAAAATCAAACTATCATGAAATGAACATTTTCCAGTTTGATTTATCTTTAACTTTGTTATATGAACTTTTATAAAAATGTATGTATATATTAAACTTTACATAACTGCATATTAAACTTCATAGTATAAAAAAGTTTTAATAATCAAAATTAAATTTTTAAAAACATTAGCAGACATGAAGAGAATATAAAAATCAAATGGCTGAGAAACTTTAAAAATTACTCATCTCTACTCAGTTAAATATACACATATTAAATTAAATGAGGTTGGTACTTTTTTCACTTAGAAGATTATCAAATATTTGAAAGTTGATACTCAGTATTGGTGAGAGAATGAGAAAACAGACATCATAAGGTGTGTGAATGTATATTAATACAGTAACTTTGGAGGACAATTAGACAATATTCATCAAAAATGTAAATGTATATATAACCTCAGACTTACCAATTCTACCCCAGGAGCACATTTTCTTAAACATTTGTATAAAGACCTATGAGCAAGACTATTTTTTTGCTTTACTATTTGTTAAATATTTGTTACAACCATAATTCATAATTCTTGGTATATCCATATAGTAAATACTCCGAAACTGTTTAAAGATGGGTAGCTCTATTATGCTAATATGGAAAGACTGAAATGTATATTGAATAGCAAAAGGCACAGGAATAGAAAAAAAAAGAATAGCATGTAGAATAACAAACTTGTATGAGGAAAAATATGTGTATATATGTGGATATGTGTGTATGCAGGTTCATAATTGCCCACTTAAAACCCTTGGGACTACGTGTTTTGAACTCAGAATTGTTTAGAACTCAATTTCTTTGGATATTAGAAAAATCGTGTTTGGGCACTGGGGCTGTAGCTGGGGCTGGTAGAGCACTTGCCTAAAGCACACATGAGGCACTGGGTTCAATCCTCAGCACCACATAAAAATAAATTAATTAAATTTAAAAAAAAGAAAAATATGTTTGGGAATTCCCACCCACTCCCCTTTTTTAAGGGTTATGTGTAATACCTCCAGAGAACACTTGTATCATGGGCAAGACTACAGTCATTTGCATCAGTATTTCTGCCTTGAGAGGTAGGTATGGATTAAGTGGAAAAGTGGGATATGCTTCAAAATAATCCTAAGGGCAAAAGGGAAATAAGAGCTTGTGGATATACACATTCAATAAGATTAAGAAAGAGTTAATAAGTATTGAAGCTGTTCGGGTGTACACAAGATTTCCTCATACCATCTCCTTTTTTTAATCTGTTGGAAATTTTCCATACTAGAAGATAAAAATACATTTTTGGAGTGAAGCATGTAAATAGTCATTAAATAACATAAAATGGAATTTTTAAAAAATATCAGTCAAGATTAGATTTTACTGAGTTCAGATTTTGCTACTAAATGATTTTAGAAAAATCTTCCTATTTTCAGGGTGTTTGAGATTTTGCAGTTACAGAGAAGGAACCTCTGAGTCTATAATATAATATATGGCAATATGAAAAATTTGTTCAAACTGGCTACTTTTCATATTTGGGACTGGGTATTAGGTGACAGTAAATATAAAAGAGTGATATTTTTATCTTTTTATTTTTTATTTGACTTTGTACAATTTTAATTTTTAGCAATTTTTAAGAATTTTGAATTGAAAAAATCACTACTGAGACACTTGCCATTTGCCTTTGATCTGCCTATTTAATGAACAAATACTCATTGAACACTTAAACTGTGTACTATGTACTTTAATAATTCAGTTGTAAAACATGTTTCATCATGTGCTTTGATCATAAATCTCATCATAAACATACAATGTAAAACTGATTTTACCACATAGTACATGATTAGTTGCTCAAATGTGCGGTTTGCATTTTTGGCATCTAATCCTAGACTGACTTTCATTACAGGATCCAAGTTTCCTTCCCATCTTAACAACTCAGTGACTTAGGCAATGGAAAAGACATTAGTGGATCTGGATGTGCATTTTATTTTTTACCCTTTTTAAATGTACAGTTTATTAGCATTAAATATGGGCACATTTAGCGCAGCTATCACCTCTACTGCCAGAACTTTTTCATTTTGCAAAACTGAAGCTCTGTATACTCTTTTTTTTCTTTTTTTTTTTAGAGAGAGAGAGAGAATTTTTTAATATTTATTTTTTAGTTTTCGGTGGACACAACATCTTTATTTTATTTTTATGTGGTGCTGAGGATCGAACCCAGCACCCCGCGCATGCCAGGCGAGCGCACTACCACTTGAAGCTCTGAACTCTTTAAGCAAAAACTCCTATATCCCCTTCTTCTAGTACCTGGCAACCACCATTCTATTTTAGGTCTATGAATTTTATTACTCTGAGTACCCTGCGTGTGGAATTAGACAGTATTTGTTCTTTTGTGACATGATGCTTTCAAGTTTATCCATGTTATAGCATGTGTAAGAATTTTCTTTTAAGGCTGAGTCATATTCCATTGTATGTGTGTACCCCATTTTGTTTATCAGTGGATGAATAGACTCCTGGGTTGTTTCCACCTTTTGGCTATTATGAGTAATGCTGCTATGAACATGGATATACAAATATCTGTTTGAGTCCTTGCTTTTAATTCCTTTGTGTATACACCCAGAAGTAGAATTGTTGGATTATCTGGTATTTCTTTTTTCTTTTTTTTTTTTGAGGAGCCACTGTACTGTTTCTGTTACACCATTTTACATTCTCACCAGCAATGCACAAGAGTTTGAATTTCTCCACATTCCTACCAATGCTTGTAATTTTGTTTTGTTTTTGATAATAGCCATCTTAATGGATGTAAAGTGGCATCTGCTTTTGGTTTTGATTTGCATTTATCTAGTGATTACTGATGTTGAGAATTTTTTTTTTTTCACATGTTCATTGGCCCTTAGTCTCCATTCATTGGAGTATTGTCTATTCAGGTCCTTTGCCCATTTTGTAATATGGTTGTTTTGATGTTGAGTTTGTACAAGTAGCTTATATATTCTGGACATTAGCCCTCAATCAGATAAATTATTTGCAAGTATTTCCTCTCAATCTATGGTTTGCCTTTTTGCTGGGTTTTTGTTTTTTTTTTTGCACAAAAGTTTTGTTTCTGATGTCCAAATTTATCCACTTTCTTTTGTTATTTCCTTTCTTGGTTTTGGGTGTCATATCCAAAAAAACAATTGGTGCCAAATTCAATGTTATGGAGCTATTCCACTATTTTCTTCTATGAATTTTAGAGTTTGAGGACTTAAGTTTAGTCTTTGATGTTTTTGTACTGTCTAAGGTAAGAGTTTAACTTCATTCTTTTGCATGTGGATATCCAGTTTTTCTATAATGTTTATTGAAAAGACAACCCCTTTCCCCCATTGAATGTTCTTGGCACTCTTTTTGAAAATTGCTTGACTATGTTACAGGGACATCATAAGTGAAAATAGAGCCATGTGTTGACAGTTGGGTTCTGTCAGAAAGTTCACGATACAGTAGGGAGGGCATTTCTATATGGTGGCACCTCAGTTAATGTATAAAGTGAGAAGGAAAAACATGTTAGTTTCAAAGGACAAGCACATTCAATTGAAAGAGAAGCTGGTTTGATGAGCAATGAGGAGTTCTCATTAAGGTAAAGTAGAGAAGGGACTTAGATTTGTTTTTGCAGAGGACTAATATGAAGACAACCATGATTCAGAACATTAATTTGGAAGTGAACGGCATGAGGGATAGGATATTTTTCTTCATTAATGCAAGACTAAGTGAGCAGGTAGTGATTTTAAAATATGAACCAATAGTGATGTCAGCAAGATGGCAGAATAGGACTTTAAGTGCCCTTTTCCTTTCAGAAACATTAACACAAACAACTTTATGCTCATGAAAATACCATCACAAGAGCTAAAGAATCCATGTGAGGGAGGGAGAGTAAAGTGAGCACTCAGCTTCACTGTGGACATCAGCATAGGCCTAGCTCTATGAAATCTGAAGCCAGGCCTGTCCTCAAGGCCCCATGCCCTAAGATTGCACCATCAACTCAGTCTCTGGTCTTGATGCACCCAGAGATTAGATCAGGTCTTCTTCAGTAGACCCTGGTCCTGGGCCAGTATCCATGGGGCAAGGCTCTACAACTGCCAATATGGACCTGGACTCTAGAACTACTCCAGCGCTCAGCTGACCCCTGTATACTCAGGCTCTGAACTCATGCCCATGAACCCAGGACTACACCAGAGAGCTAAATATACCCTTCAGAACCAGGATCCTGGCCCAACCACATGGACCAGGTTGGCGTCTTTAAATCTGGGTACCAGATTCACCCTTCTGCTGACCCAATCCCAACCAGTCTGCTTGAGGACCCTACAGGCAAGCTTGCCTATGGACTCTGCTAGATATCATCCCCATTCCCCAGAATCTCTACACAGGCTAACTGGTGAGGATCTTTCTCTGCCAAAGCCAGTCTGTAAAGACTTTGGAATAGGGGTCTACTTCTTCAAATGTGAAGGCACCAACACAAGTCCATAAGGATCATGAAAAAAGTCAGGGAAACAGAACACTGCCAAAAACTCTAAAGAAATGGAGATCAACACGAGCTATAAAAAAACACAGACAACTAAATAAAATCGGGAAAACAACAAACAAAATGAGAAATTCAACACAGAGAATCCATAAATGGGCCAAACAGAAATCTTAAAGCTAAAGAATATAAAGGCAGAACTGAAAACTTCCATAGAGAGCTTTAGCAGCAGACTATGAAACAGAAGAATAAGTGACCTCGAAGATAGGTCATTTGAAATGACCCAGTCAGAGGAACAAAAGAAAAAAGAGTGAAAAAGAGTAAAGAAAGCCCCGCCCCCGCGCGGCGCTGCGGAACCGGAGCTCCGGGAGGCGGCGAGGCCAGGGCTGCAGGAGCCGGCGCGGCGGCCTCAGCAAGAGAGGTGGGGACCCAGCGGACCACGATGAAAGCGCACAGGCAGCCGGGCCGGGCCGCCACGGGGAGAGCGGCCGCCGGGAAGCGGGCGGGAAGCCGGGCGGGCAGCGGACAGCCGCCGAGCTGCGGAGCGACATGGTACTGCTCAAGGAGTATCGAGTCATCCTGCCTGTGTCTGTAGATGAGTATCAAGTGGGGCAGCTGTATTCTGTGGCCGAGGCCAGCAAAAATGAAACTGGTAGTGGTGAAGGCGTGGAGGTCCTGGTGAATGAACCTTATGAGAAGGATGGTGAGAAAGGCCAGTACACCCACAAGATCTACCACCTACAGAGCAGGGTACCCACATTTGTTCCAATGCTGGCCCCAGAGGGAGCACTGAATATACATGAAAAAGCATGGAATGCCTACCCATATTGCAGAACTGTTATTACAAATGAGTACATGAAAGAGGACTTTCTGATTAAAATTGAAACCTGGCACAAACCAGATCTTGGCACCCAGGAGAATGTGCATAAACTGGAGCCTGAGGCATGGAAACCTGTGGAAGCCATATATATAGACATTGCAGATCGAAGTCAAGTACTTAGCAAGGATTACAAGGCAGAGGAAGACCCTGCAAAATTTAAATCTGTCAAAACAGGCCTCGGACCCTTGGGCCCAAATTGGAAGCAAGAACTTGTAAATCAGAAAGACTGCCCATATATGTGTGCATACAAACTGGTTACTGTCAAGTTCAAGTGGTGGGGCCTGCAGAACAAAGTGGAAAATTTTATACATAAGCAAGAGAAGCGTCTGTTTACAAATTTCCACAGGCAGCTGTTCTGTTGGCTCGATAAGTGGGTTGATCTGACCATGGACGACATTCAAGGATGGAAGAAGAGTCGAAGAGACAGCTAGATGAGATGAGACAAAAGGACCCAGTGAAAGGAATGACAGCAGATGACTAAAGCCACCCCTCCCCCTTCGCAAGACAGTGGTCAACAGGAAGGCCCAGCAGCTCCACCCTCCTGCATGACAGGCCATCTTCGGACGCAGCCTTTCTGTGCCCATTCTTCAGGCAACTTTCAATTCCTTACTGTAGCTAATTCTAGATGCCCTTTAATATTGTGAACAAATAGACCGTCTGGTATTACGGGAGCCTGTTCCTCTGAGATATGTGGTGTATAGGCTGCTGTATTTACATCTCCTCCCTCTCTCTCCATTGTGTTCTGCCCCATTTCTGGGTATGCCCCCACCTTAATTTCCAAGTGACATTTTTAGTCTTCAAGTTAGCTGCCTTTTGTGATGTGGTGATTTAAGTTCATTTGTTTTCAGCCTTGGGATAAACTGAGGTATTTTGCTTCCTGGGCAGATCCTTGAAATTTTGAATGCTCACCTGGGGAGAGAAGATGAGTTAGAAATACAGTATCCTCCCCTATTTCCCCCACCTAGTTCCACAGAATAGCAATGTGGCTTCATAACTCTTACCTCTGTTCCCAGTTTCCCATTGTTACAATGTACTAAGCACGAAGGAGGTACCCAAGGCCCAGATTTTGTTTAAAGAAAATTTAACCCATATGAATAATCCCTGCCCCGGTCATTGCATCTCTGGCCACTGTTCTTACAAACAAGCGTGATTTCTTGGTCTTTCTGTTGCCCACTCTGTCTGAATTTCTCTGCAGAGCCTACAAGACACCCTGGTCACCTTTCCACCTGGAGGGAATTGTCCGGCATGGCCCTTAGAATTGAATCTGCCCCATAGATACCAATCCATCTGACCCCTGAGGAGCTAGCTCTAGGCTCCTCTTCCCTTTTGGGCTGGTGCTGCCACTCAGCAATAATCCTTTTCTCTATGCTTTCTTTGATCCCTGTCCTCTGTCTTTGAGGTTGGTTAGGATGCAGAAGTCCTGATCTTTTCATGCTGCACAAAATGAGCATGCAAAAATTCCCTCCTCCCCCAGCAGAACATGTACCCTCTTGTCTCCAATCACTGGAAAAGAATTTGGGAATCATGAACTCAGCTTGTCCTGCCCATGCTGAGTTCTGTCCTGGACAATCAGAAGCAAGCACTGATCGTAGTGGAAGAACTCCACTAGAGTAGACTGGTGAACAAGTCCAGGCTCCAGGGAAGTAGAAATTGCTGAGTGCTTCCCAGTTCCTTGACTCAGCAGAACCTGAGTATGCCTTCTTGATGGGAGAATATGAGATAGCTATGGTGTCACCTGACATTTCCCAAGCCTTGTGAAGTATGTTGGCCTGAGTGTGCAGTGACCCAAACCCATACTAGCCTGGGTCCCTCTGCTAATGAGAGAAACCAAATCTGTTTAGAATGAGAAGTGGGAAGGGACATTTTATCCTTAAGTTTTGTCTGTGTGTTTGCCTTACTCATTTCTAAGTGCAATAATGGAGCGTCTCACAGATTGCACCTGTGATATCCTCCTGACAGATGCTTCCCTGTGGCCCTCCTAGGGCAAGGGTAGACAGATTCGGATCCCTCAGCATGGTTAGCTCTGACCTTCATTGAGGTCCCTTTGGGACCAGGAGATATCTCATTATAGGTACCTTCCTATGTATTAATCTCCTCACCTTGTAGGGTCTTTGGTAATGGACCTGGGGCATTTCAGCTGGTGATCAGCATCTCAACTGCTAGGAGCATGTATTGGACTGGATTGGAAAAGTTGAAGAGAGACATTCCTACAGGAGAAAAATTTAAATGTTTTCCTGCAAGCTCTATATTAGCTATTAATTATATTTGTGCTTAAAGATTTTTTTTCTTCATTCATCCATTAGGTGAAGTCCAGGTGTGGGTTTTCTTGGGAGAAACTGAAACTCTAAGTAGACAGTTGTTTATGTGGTATGAGGATCAGCAGATGTTAGCCTCCTTTGTTCAGTTCTTTGAGATCTACACTATCACTTCAGCTCTGGTGGGGGCTCACTCTTCGTTTGCCTTTTCTCTGGCTTCTCCCACTTCTACCTGTTGCCCTGTTTGAAAGCATCTAAATGAGCTGAGCTGGAATTTCTCAAGATCAGCCTAGATCTGGGGCTCCTGCCCACACAAACAAAAGGAGGGATGTCTCTTTCTAATCCATCCCTATGGATGATGTTGCTGCTGGGCAACAGTGTTGGCTTCTTTTAAGTGGCCCCTTCCTTCTTTCCTTCTCCACCCCAAAACTGATGAGCACTCAGAGGGGCTTATGATGAGCAAAGGCTTAGCTCCAGGGATTACACCTGCCACTGTGCCATGCCCCTTCAGACCAGCTGCTTCCATTAGATTTCCAGGGTCTTAGTCCCAAATGAAAGCAACAATGCCTCTACACAAGGGCTGCTGGGCCTCCTCATTGAGAGAGGTCAGGGACAGGGTCAGTATTGTGGGCATGTATATATCTTCCCATGTTCTCCTTTCACAGTCCATACCAGGACTCCCTGACTTATTTTGGTTGGTTCCTAGTGCTCCTTCTTTTACAAACTACACTTTGTAGAACTGATTAGATTACCTTGTTTATTTAATGTGAGTTTGTGCCTTTTTGTCTCAATCTTCCAATACAGGTATATTGGGGGAAAAAAGCAGTCTAATAAAATCCTAGACAGAGAAAAAAAAAAGAGTAAAGAAAGCCTATAGGACATGTGGGACACCATCAGGTAAATGTATTTACATGTTATGGGAGTTTCAAAAGGGACTGAGAAAGGGGAAAGCGATAATTTTATATATATATATATATATATATATATATATATATATATATATATATTTTAATTGTAGATGGACACAATATTTTATTTATTTATTTATGTTTATGTGGTGTTGAGGATTGAACCCAGTGCCTCACAAGTGCTAGCTAGGCAAGCCCTCTAGCATTGAGCTGAAACTTCAGTCTTGGGAAAGCAATCTGATTTAAAGAAATGGCACAAAATACCCAAACTTAGAGAGAAAAATGAACATTCAGATCCATAAAGATCAAATAGAGTAAATATAAAGAGGTGGTCACTGAGACATATTTAATCAAATTCTCAAAAATCAAAGACAAGGAGAACTTTTAAAGCATAAAGATAAGATGTAACTTGTCATAAACATGGGAACCTCCTTAAGACTATCAAATTCCCAACAGAAAAATGTAGTTCCAGAACTAGTGAGAAGATATCATCAAAATGCTGAAAGGGGGAAAAATATTGCCAACCAAAAATACTATATATAGGAAGTCTGTCCTTCAGAAATGAAAGAGGGAGAAGGATTTTTCCAGACAAAAGCTGTGGGAGTTCATTACAAGACTTTCTTTACAAGAAAGGCTAACCAGAGTTCTTTAAGTTGAAATGAAAGGACATTAACATAAAAACATGAAAATATAGAACTCCCTGTAAAGAATATAGTCATTCAGAATATTTTAATACGGTGATGTGGTACACAAATCACTTAACTCTAGCATAAAATTTAAAAGACAAAAGTATTAGCAAATTATTATAACTAGTTATTGTTAACAGATATATGATAGACAAAAGAAAATGGTACCAGTGACATAAAATGGAGGAAAGAGTATAGAAGTTTTGTATATGGTTGAAATTGCCATCTAAAAATGACCTGTTATAAGATGGTTTTTGTAAACTTCATGGCAAATACAAAACCTATAGTAGGCACATAAAAGATAAATCAAAATATGTCACCACCAAAAAAAGAAAAAGAGAAATCAGGTCATAAACAGTGAAACACAGAAGCTACAACACAGAAAACAAATGGCAGAGTAAGTCAGCTATCAATAATTACATGTAAATGGATTAACTCTTCACTCAATGATATACAGTGGCTCGAATGGGTTATAAACGAGATCCAGCTCTATGCTGCCCACAAGAGATTAATTTTAGCTCCAAGGAGAGAGGCTGGCCATGAAGGGATGAACAAAGATTTTTTTCATGCCAGTGGTAACCAAGAGAGCAGGAGTGGCTATATTCACATCAGACAAGATAGACCTTAAGTCTAACACTGTGACAAGAGACAAAGAAAGTCATCATATAAATAAGTCACTAGATCAAGAAGATATAACAATTATAAATATTTATTCACCCACCATCAGAGCACTTAAATAGGTAAAGCAAATATTGATGAAATTAAAGAGATAAATTGCATTAATAGTAGGTACCATAGTTTTAGCAATGGATAAAGGCATCCAGACAAATAGTGAAGACACAGGGCACATGAACAACACCACTGTTCACCAAATTGATCAAACAGACATATAGAGAACATCCCATCCAACTGCTGCAGACTACATTGTTTTCAAGAACACTTGAGTTATATGGTAGGCCACAAAACAAGTCTTAGAAATTTTAAGAAGACTGAAATAAATCATATATCAAATGTATTTTCTGAACACAGTGGTATGAAACTTGAAATCAGAGGAAAATTTTTAAATTAACAAATGTAGAAATTAGGCAGTGTATCACTAAACGACTAATAAATCAAAGAAAAAAATTCTGGAGACAAATGAAAGTTTAAACACAGCATACAAAAATATATGGGATGCAGTAAAAGCAATTCTTAGGGGAAATTTTTAGTGGAAAATGCATATTAAGGGGGAGAAAAGAATATATCAAATAACCTAGCTTGATACCTCTAGGAACTAGAAAAAGGAGAGCAAACTAAGCCCAAAGTCAGCAGAAGGAAATTATTGGAGCAGAAATAAATGGACATTTGAAAATTAGAAATCAAATGAAACTAAAAGTTGGGGTTTTGAAAAGATAAAACTGAAATATCTTTATCTAGACCAAGAACAAAAAGAAGACTCAAATTATGAACAATGACAACATGGATGAACCTGGAGGGCATTATGCCAAGTGACATAATCCATACACAGAATGAGAAATATAATGTATTCTCATTTACATACAGAATCAAAAGAAAAAAAGGTGGAATAAATAGAAACAGCAAGTAGAGAGCAGAGTGGTAGTTACCACAGGCAGGGAGGGGAAGGAAATGGGGAGAAGTAGGTCAAAGTATATATATTTGCATTTCTGTAGGTGACTAAATCTAGAGAGCTAATGTACAACATGAGAACATGAGTTAATATCGTATCCTAAAAATTTGCTTAGGTTTTTTGGTGCTGAACACATACACAACTGGAGCTGCGTATATCAAAAACATTATACACTTCAAATATATACACTAAAAAATAAACTAAAAGTTATAAATGATATTAATACTGATACCAAAGGAATACAAAGGACAATAAAATACTGCTTTGAACAATTATATACCAAAAAATTGGATAACCTATAAGAAATGGATTAAGTTCCCTGAAACATACTATCCACCAAGACTAATCAAGAAGAAATAGAAAATCTGAACTGACCAATAAAGATAAGGAGATTAAATCAGTAATACAAACTCAGGAGCTGATGGATTTACTATTGAGTTTTACCTGACACTTAAACAATATTAATACCAATCCTTCTGAAATTCTTCCAAAAAATTAAGAGGAGGAAACACTTCCAAACTTGTTTTATGAGATTAGCATTACCCTTATACCAAAGCTAGATAAGATTACCACAAGAAAAGAAAACTGGGGTCAGGATATAACTCAATGGTAGAACACTTGCTTCGTATGTATGAAACCCTTGATTCAATCCCCAACACTACCCACAGAAAGAGAAACAAAAAATTAAAGGGCAATATCACTCATGAACATAGATGCAAAAATCCTCAAAATATACTAGCATACTGAATTCAACAGCATATTAAATGTGTCATACCCCATGATTGAATGAGATTGATTCCTGAGAAGCAAGGATCATTTAACACATGCATAGTCCATAAATGTGATATACCACGTTAACAGTGAAGGATAAAAATCATAAGAGCATCTCAATAGATGTGTAAAAGGCATTTGATAAAATTCAACATCTCATGATAAAAAATACTCAAACTATAGAAGGAATGGAACTAAACTTAATAGAGTCCATATGTGAGAAGCCCATAGACTGCTGAATGGTGAATATCTGAAAACTTTTCCTCTAAGATTGGGAACAAGATAGAAATGCCCACCACTCTTACCACTTCAATCCATATAGTGCTTAAGTCTGATCCAGAGCACGTAGGTAAGTAAAAGATGTGAAAGGCATCCAAGTGGGAAACAAAGAAGTAAAACTGTCTTTTTGCAAATGACAAGATCTTATATGGAGAGAACCCTGAAGACTCCACCAAAATTTTCTTTAGAATAAACAAATTCAGTTTCAGGATATAAAATCAGCAGTGTTTCTATATATTTACAATGAGCTATCCAAAAAGAATTCAATAAAACAATTCTATTCACAATATCTATCAAAAACAAAAAACCTTAGGAGCAGTTTAACCAAGGACATGGAAGATGTGCACACAGAAAACTGTGAAATGCTGGTGAAAGAAATTGACGATACAAATAAATGAAAAGCTAGGTGAGTGGATGTTCATGGTTTGAGACAATTATTATTAAAATGTCCGTATTTCCCAAATAAATCCACAGATCCAGTGTTATCCCTATCAAAATTCCAATAACATTTTTCATAGAAGTATGAAAAAATCTAAAATTCGTACAGAACCACAAAAGCTATCTTGAGCAAAAATAACAGAATGTGATACATTATACCACTTGATTCAAAAATCAACTATAAAGCTTGAGTAATCAAAACAGCATGTTACTGGCATGAAAACAGGCTCAGAGCAATGGATCAGAACCAGGGACCCAGAAGTAAGTCCACTCATTTATGATCAATTGTTTTTTGACCAAGTTGCCAACACTCAATAAAGGACAGTACCTTCAATAAATGATGTTGAAAAGCTGATACCCACCTGCAGAAAAATGAGATTAGGCTCTTGTCTCACACCATATACAAAAATCAAGTCAAAATAGATTAAAACACATGAAACTATAAAACTACTAAAAGAGTAAGCAGAAGAGAAGCTCCATGACATTGGTCTGGACAGTGGTTTTTGAAAAGGATCCCCAAAGCACAAGCAACCAAAAGCTAAAATAGACAAATAGGATTTTATCGAACTAAAAACTTCTGTGAGCAAAGGAAACCACAGGGTAAAGAATGGGAGAAAATATTTACAATTCCAATATCTGACAATATATTAAAATAATATTAAAACAGACAAGGAGCTCAAACCTCTCCACAGTAAGAAAACAACTCAGAAAACGAGCAAGGATATAGATAATGCTCAAAGGACATACAGATGACCAATACATAAGAAAAAATGCTCAATCTCACCATCATCAGAAAAATATAAACCAAAACCACAATGATATCACCTCACTCCAGTTAGAATGTCTATATAATAAAGATGAAAGACAGCAATTGTTGGCAAGGATTTGGAGAATGTTGGTGGGAATCTAATTGCAGCCATTATTGAAAATAGTATGGAGGTTCCTCTTCAAATTAAAAATAAAACTTCCATATGATCCAGCAATCCCACTATCAGATATATCCAAAGGAAATGAAAGCAGTATCTGTACCCCCACAATTGTTGCAGGATTATTCACAATAACCAAAAAATCAACCTAAGTGTCCATCAGTGAATGAAAAGAACTGTGGAATACTATACAGGTATACAAAGGCATTGTAACCCTGTCGGTTGCAACAACATGAAGGAAAGATGTTATTTTAAGTGAAATACCCAGGCACAGAAAGACCAGTGCTGCATGATCTCACTTATATCTGGAATCTAAATAAAACTGATAGAAGTAGATTGGTGTATGAGGGATGGGGGTCAGGGAGATGTTGGTCAACGGGTACAAAGTTTCAATAAGAGGGTAAATAAGTTCTGGAGATCTGTTGTGCAAAATGGTAACTATGTAGTTAATAGTAATGCACTAAATGTATTTGAAAACTGCAAGGTGAGTGGATATTAAGTGTTCTTACCACAAAATAGGTATGAAATGAATATGTTAGTCATCTTCCAATGTATACCTATATCAAACATTTTATAAATCAGTTATACTTTAATAAAACTGGTGGAGGTGAGGGGGAATGAAACCACAAAATGAAAAGCTGGCTGAGCTGCATGCATGGACTGTCCTTTGGAAAACCCCCTAGATGCATCCCCAATCTTTCCTTCTCATGGTTTTGCGACCTAAGGCATTTTATTTCTGTTTTAGTTTCTTCCTCTGTAATTTCTTACCAACGTTCTTAGGAATACATGAAGACGTAAAGTTATGTTTTTGCCATTCTCTTCTCTGTGCTATGTTTCATTGATTCTGTGCCTGGGGATTATTTGGGATAAAAATTATATTTCTCACTTGAAAATGATTATAGAATGTTAATAAATCTTTGATTTTCTGTTTTGGCATAAAATCTTCATGAGGACTGATTTTTTTTGTGTTTTGTACTAGGGATTGAACTCAGGGATGCTTAATAACTGAGCCACATCCCCAGCCCTTTTTAAAAATATTTTATCACTGAGTTGCTTAGGGCCTAAGTTGCTGAAGCTGGCTTTGGACTCGAGATCCTCCTGCCTCAGCCTCCCAAGCTGCTGGGATTACAGGCATGCACTACCAGGGACAGTGTGAGGACTGATTTTTGACACAAGTAGCTGATTTACACTGCTCTCCTTTTGTTTTTTTGCTCTACTATTATGTGGCAGGTTTACTCAAAGGCTTTGTTCTAGAGCTTGACTTCTTTTTTTACTGTGTCTTTCAGCACTCCACTTCAAAAGTAACTCTGGCACTGAACAAGTCAGACTGATTGGGAAAACCTTTATGGCATTCAGCCTCAAGTTCCTTGCTGTATTTTATGTATTCAGAGACAAAAATATGCAAATTTCTCCTTAAAATATGTAAATAAGGCATATGTTTTATGTGTCACTTTCTAAAGGTTACAGTCTTCGTCCTTTGATGATTCAAGTCCAACAGAGCCAATGAGAGATAACCACACTGTCACCTGCAGGAATGTAAGTACACTCAAATGACAATGTTCACGAAATCAGTGAATGATAAAATTTGCTCTTTGATTATTTCTTTTGAGAAAAGAAACCATCCTGTAAAAGAAAATGAACTCTTTCTTGCCACTCAAGGGTTTTTAAGATGCATCAAAGTTTAGAATAATGGTTAAGGGTGAAGTTGTTAGAATACCATCTGGGTCCAAGCTGTGACTCAGACACTTACTGCTATATAGCCTTGGGTTTGTTACTTAAACTCTGTGCCTCAATTTCCTCATTTATAAAGCAGGGATGATAATATATCCCCTGAAGGAATGTGAGAATTCAGTGGTTTAGCACAAAAACAAACTCTTAAAACAGTGTTGGCACATAGTAAATGCTCAATTAATGGTAGCTGTGATTATAGTTAGGTTCTAAATTGGTAGATTACATGTATTCCTGTGGTTTGAAAAAGATAAGCCATAAGAAAAAAAAAATTTTGTGCTGGGGATCAAATCCAGGGCCTCATAAATGCTTACCACTGAGCTACATTCCCAGCCCTGCTATTTCATTCAATTAAACATACACTAGCTAATTGAAATGTCTTGGTGCTTATACAAAAATGACTAAACATAGTACTCAACTAGAAGATGAAAATACAATATAATTCTAATATGATACAAATAACAAAAAGCTCTAAAGTAAGTATGTAAACTAGGTAGTAGAAGAATATGAGAGAAAAGAATTTATATATGACCAGGGACAAAAACCTAAAAATATAAATATTATATAGAATTTGTGTAAGAATCTAAGTCTTCTGACCTGTTCATTCATTTGTTCATGCATTTAGCAAATGAGGCAATATGCTAGGAAACAGATTTAAGTTATTGTAAGAAAATCTCTAGTACCATACTCTATATAGGCTTTTTGTAGATAAAATACATCAACCTAATACAACAATACAGACCAATGATTTGTGAGCTACATTGAATATTAGATTGTGTTGCATGGAAAAGTCTAAAACTTTTTGGTAAAAGGATCTGCTCTAATCTGTTCTGCACTCTAAAGTACTATTGCCCAGTAATTTCACAAGAAGTATAGGTTTGCCATCATTTTTTTTTAACTGAGATGACTTTGACACAAAGAATTTGTGGTCATAAACTTTGCCTTCTTCTTGTAAAATTTTTCCTTATAGCATATACCTTTCGTTGTGGTTTGAGGTGGTGGCTTTAGAGCCTAGTGGCCTTGGTTTATTATCATGGCCTCAACACCTTGAGAAAGATAATGTATTTTTAGACTTCAGATCCTCATATTTGAGAAATGAAATGGAATGATGCCCATGGGGTGCTTGCCCTGTAGCACTCAGTAAGTGCTCGCTGCCAGGGGGCCGTGGTGCTGGTGGCAGGTCCCTGTCTGCTGACTGCCAAGGGGTTTTTATCTCACTCAAGTGCAAACCTAACTATGCATTATTCTATGTTTTGCAGATGTCAAATCAGGAGTTGTTTTCACTGAGTCCTTCAGAAACAGGGGAGCTGGAGACAACCAGGCAAAGCCAGAGCACTCACGAACCTCTCCTCAGTAAGTTGTCTCTGGCATCAGCCGGCCACGTTAGTTTTCCAGAAACTTCCTCTTACTCACTGTTTTCAGGCACAGAAGACTTCTGAAGAAGCACACTGTTTTAAAACTAAGATTTTTCTCATTCCAAATTCTAAATAGAGATACCATACTCTTGATTTTAAAATATAGGTGCCGTGAAGAATTCAGTTGTTATTTCAGTCGGTTTTAGATGTTGCTGAACACATGCAATTTATTTATTTATTTATTTAATTTTTTTATATTTATTTTTTAGCTTTTAGGTGGACACAATATCTTTATTTTACATTTATGTGGTGCTGAGGATTGAACCCAGTGCCTTGTGCATGCTAGGCAAGCACTCTACCACTGAGCCACAACCCCAGCCCAGAATACATGCAATTTAAATACATCTAAGGTATTTCTATGTAGGGAAAAAAATATCCATTCAAGAATCACCAAGAATTTTTTAAAGGATATATATCACAAAAAGAAGTATAAGATTTTAATAAATTGAATCAAAGATTTTCAGACACCCATAACTGACATCACTTTCTAGAAAGCTGAGGCTAAAGAGAATCAAGGGATTTGATTCAGCTTCACACAGAGAACCACATAGAAATCATCTTCAATTCTATTGTACTTAGAAAGATATCCAGAAACCAGTTAATCTTTATCTGTGTTTTAACCCTTAATTTCTAGAACCTCTTTCTAGCTCTAATTTGAATGGTTCTTCTATATATCCTTTTTCAATTAGAAATCTGGTTACCTACCTGTAAGAAAATTTCAGATTTTTTGGAAGATAACACTTTTGTCTCAGTCCTTTGCTTTTAGCCTTAAACAAATGGAAATCTTTCTCAAGGCAGATGAAAGTTAAATTTGTCCTTCCAGGCACATACACCCAAGGCCCTAACACTTTGAGAGTCTGTTCCCTTTAGCAGTACCATCTCCTATTACAAAGCTTCTGTACATTGGATGAATCAAATGCAACTTATCTAACATCAGATTGTTATAAAAATAGGTGACCTATTTAAAAATACATCAGGTTTTGCCAATTTTAGACCTATGCTTCACATTCTGAAAGTACCTTGGATGACGTCTCTGCCTTGCTTTGCCGTTTTTGATTCAACCTCCAATTTTGTGAAATGTGTGACTTTGGTAACCTTCACTTATGCAAGCCTGTATTTTAATTCACTAGGTGACAGCGCACAGCTGGATTTCGATGCCCTGTGTGACAATGAGGACACAGCCATGGCTGCTTTCATGAATTACTTAGAAGCAGAGGGGGGCCTAGGAGACCCTGGGGACTTCAGTGACATCCAATGGACACTCTAGCATTTGACTTCTGTCTCCAAAAATGAGAAACATTTTCAAGCATTTCATTTACAAAACACTGTCTCTTCTTCAGTACTGTATGGATACTACTGGTTTCATGTTTTCTTAATGATCTACCAGTTTTTATAGATTTGCACCTTACTCTCAACAGGGAGGTTGGAAAATATATTTTCCTTCAAAGAGAACTGATCAGTTTATTATCACCCCCTTTATGCCATGAAATAGCTTAAAACCCACTAGCTGCCGTATTTTTAACTAAAATATTTCTGACCAATACCACCACATACATGTTGTTTTGACTTTATTATTTTTTTTATGTGGTTTTGAGTTTGGAAAATTTAATGTGGACATTTTCCTGTGTCTAAGATTTATTTACCACAGATTTGTGATATAGGTTTGTGTAATTTGGAACATTTCCATTTCTTGAGCATTTCCTTAATTGAGGATAGGGCATTCGTTCTAAGAAAACAGGGAGTGCTTGTACGCTTAAAGGGACAGTGCAACTTGTAATCATAATCTTGATGAATATTATAATCAATCTTTGTAGAATTTGGCAAGAACACAGCCAGGATATTTATGCTCAGCCAAGCACTTTCAGATGAATTTTAAGTGAGATGACTTCTTATTTAAAACAGAAAAAAGCCAAAAAAACAGTTTCAACTTTGTTTACAGAAAAGGAAGAATCTTAGGTCCTAGATCTTGTTGATTAACAAAACTAGCTCTTAATATAAACACTCAAGATTTTCATTACAGATAGAATAGACTTTTGCTGTTGAAACATGGTTAGGAAGAAATAGGTCCAGGCAGATTAAGTGTCCTGGGTAAAGGGCTGGGCACAGTGGCACACTCTTGTAATCCACTGGTTTGGGAGGCTGAGACAGGAGGATTGAGAGTTCAAAGCCAACCTCCGCAAAAGCGAGGCACTAAGCAACTCAGTGAGACCCTGTCTCTAAATAAAATACAAAATAGGGTGGGGGATGTGGCTCAGTAGTTGAGTGCCCCTGAGTTAAATACTTGGTACCCCCCCAAAAAAAATGTCCTGGGTAAAGTCATACATTAAATTCATGGATTTTAAAGTGTTTAATATGTATAAGCTAGTTTTTTTATACATATTTGCAAAGCAATGGCCTCACTAGCTAAATGACTAATTGATCCAGGAAATAGTTGTAGTTTTCTAGGTAGTTTCAGTTATGCCTGTAAGGAAAAAGTAATGAAGTAAATATTCAGTACATTTTTTTAATCAAGGCAATGAGAATGCATTTTAAAACCAATTTTCTAGTTACAATTAAAATTTTGGAAAGCATTATTTTAAATAGTAATTAATCCAGAAGTAGCTCAAATTGAGTATAAGAACTAAGATTAATTAAAATTCTATATACCTACCTTCTTGGGAATCATACTTTTATAAATACCTGTGTTTTAACATCTCTTTACAGATTACCAAATGAGTTCTTATGTCTTTTTTTTTTTTTTTTTGTATTTTACAAACAAAAGAAGGATAGGCTGGAAAACTAAGAGGGAAGTCCTCAGGCCCCAATGAAGGGTTCAAATCCACTTTTCTCCATATGGTGCTACACCCTTCCAGCAAATTTCCCTCTGAGCCCCTCACCAAAGCAATGTGTTACTTTGACCTTCATGATATTTCTGGAGGCCGTAAGTGATAAATGAGAATTTTCATCAGATGTGTTAATGACAGACATACCAACAGGCAATCACCCAAAGCAAATGTTTCTTTCAAGTGTAGTTGAGGATGTACTGGCACATTGTGCTCTTGAGCCCATACCGTGTTCCAGCAACATCAGGGGTCAGCACCCTTCTTGGGCTGACATTTGAGGCCTTGAGAGACATCCAGGTTTATAACACGCCAAAGAAACCCTTCAAGGTGAGGGAGGGTTGACGTGCTGCAGCCCCAGCACTACAGCTAAGTTGAAAGAAGCATGAAAGATCACATGGCCCCTCTGCCTGCCCACCAACAGAGCTGTTTTTAGGGAACTGCACCATTGCAGGTTCCTGGTGGTAGGTTATATCATCACTATGGGATGGCCTCAAAAATAGGAGGGGCAAACCCTCATGATTCGAGGGGCAGAGATTCTGGATGCAGCCCTTGCTGCCTTGCACAGCAGGAGTTTTTTATTGCAAAAGAAGGGGTTATTCCATAGGCCAACAGGCAGGTAGCCCTTGGAATGCTCTGGGCATATACATTTTTAAATTTTATTTATTTATTTTTTTTTTAGCCCACTCTAATTTTTTCCGTAGATTCTCTTGTCCTGGACCCAGAATCCAGCCAATCCATGCTTTATATGGTACTGTGGTTCTCCCAACTTTAGTGTATTCTCCAAAATTCATTCAATTAGGACTAAAATATTTGTATGGATTATGCATATTACTATTGTCTCCTATAAGTTAACATCTTGAATTTTGGTGAGAAATAACACATCTATAAATTGCATGAAAATATCAAAGACAGTAATTTTTTTCTTAACTCTGAGAGTTACCTCAGATTTTGGAGTAGAAAAATGTTTTCTTCTTAAGCATAAAGCAAACAAAAAAATTAGGGGGAAAATTAACATATTTAACCATGCAAAAATTAAAAAATATTGTGTTTGGACTTTAAAGCAGGTGGGCCATTTTGATCTGGTAATTAGACTTATAGAAATTCATCCTAAACAGAATCAGAGGCACACAGCCTCTGATTCTGTAACATCGTATCAGAGTGGGAAGAGTCCCTGTGTAGCCAGGGACTATGTAGCCAGAGTCCCTCTGTAGCCATTTAAAACTCTGTGCCTCAGTTTCCTCACTTATTTTTTTTTAAAAAAAAAAAGTTTGCTTTCTGAGTTTACTCCCAGCTGTGACTCTGATTCTAATCCAGAACTTAAGCACTGGGGTAGACCTAGAACTGGACTGTCCTTTACTGTAGCCACTTGCCACATGTGGCATTGAACACTTGCAACGTGGCTGTTACAAACTGAGAGGTGTTATCAAAGTAAAATACAAACCAGATTTGTATTTTACAATACAAATTATAAAATTTGTATTGTAAAACGTGCTGGGGCTGCAGCACGTCAGACTTAGTATGTGAATGTAAAATAGCATGTTAATTTTATAATGATTACATATTCAAATGTTATTTTGAATATACTGAATTAAGTAAAACATTACAATTTTACTTGTATCTTTTTACTTTAATGTGGCTACTAAAAAATTTTAAATCACACATGTGGCTCTCATTCTTTCTTTTGGACAGTGCTGCTCTAGATCATTTCATCAAGTGGATATTATTAAAGTAGACCAAAGTTTACACCATCAGGATGATATTTACCTCTAAATACTGTTTGAAAGATATTTATTGATCTTTTTCAGACCACTAGTGTTAATGTCTATTTGCCTACTGTTAAACAGTCAACCTGATTTATTGATCCTTGATTAAGTACAAGTAACTGAGCCTCTAGTCATGTGCCAGATTTAAAAATTTGATCAGACATTTTACTACATGATGGTAGCGTACAGTCAAATAAAATTTGAGTTATAGGTTGACACCATCTGGTTGTCACTGAATTTGAAAATCCTTTGGGAAATAGGAAAATACAGAGTGGAGAATATTAGTGAATAATGAAATTGAAGGGAAGTGTGTATCTACAGTGACAACAGAAAAGGCCATATTACTTTTGTCTCCTATAAATTAACTTCTGTTCTTGAGTCCCGTTCTGTGGAGTCTGGGGCACCAGTATGTGGACTGTCCCATGCCTAGTTACCAGACTGTGTTTGGTGGTTTCTGTTTCAGATCCTGCTTTAGAGATGTGCCTGCCATTCAGGTAGGTCATCGCTGAGCTCTGGAATTAAGAGACTCAGATTTGCCCAACACTGTTCAGGGCAGAGCAGGGTTGACAGCATTGTCAAGAAGCCATAAAGAAAAACTGCTAAGTGGCCACTAGGTGCCACCTTTCCTTTCTCACAGTGCTATGTTTTGATGACATTAATTTTCCCAAGCTCCCTGGGGCCTGTGAGAGACATTATTTAAGATTTCTGTGCCTAGAATGAGTCAGCTTCTCCCGTGTGGGTTGGTTGATGAGAAATGCTTTCCAAGGGAGGTCTGGGGGGCGCCTTCTCACATAATATAAGAACTTTGGTGTAGGGAGCTTCCCAGATGTGCTGCTAGTGAGAACTGACCTTAGCAAACCCGTCCAGTCTGGGGTAGGCTCTCTGAACCCGATGCTCATATATGTTCTCAAGTGTAGATTTGCCTTTTATACAGTTTTTAGCTCTCTCCAGTTCACTTGCTCTTGTCTGTATATTGATATTTTTTAAAATTTTGTGGTAAATAATAGTGAAATTAAATTATATTTTATAATAATTACTATTTGTAGTTTTTTTTAAAATTAATACACTTTCAAAAAGTGTGTCTTCGATTGTGTGTGTGTGTGTGTGTGTGTGTGTGTGTGTGTGACAGACACAGAGACTGGGGATTGAACACAGGGCACTCTATCACTAACCTACATCCCGGGCCCTTTTTGAAGCAGGGTCTCACTATCCCTCAGCCTCCAGAGTAGCTGGGGTTACAGGTGTGCACCACCATGCCTGGCACTTAGCTATTTTCTAGTGTATAAACATAGGTGGGGTTCAAGACCCCAGGTTCTCAGACCACTAAGCAGGGGGTTATGATGAAGAGTGTTACTGCATAGATTTGGAGTACATTCACAGACTTTCCTTATGGCTACAAGTTCAAAGTCCTAGTGGTTTAACCAATAAAGGTTTCTTCCAGCTCATATCACAGCCTGATGCTGTAGCACTTTGCCTCTCTGACTCTCCCTCTTTCCACCAACGGGTTTTAGCCTCTGGTGGACCCTCTCTCCATAATGACACTCAGAAGCTCCAAGTGGGTATTTTATAATGGGCAATCTCAATAGAAAGAGAGCTTCTCTATTTGTTAGTAATTTACTAAAAAATGCCCATTGATTTGGGCCTCTGGATCAGCTTGGTTGATACTGGTTTCCTAAGTGATCAACAGTATTGTAAGATC